ATGTCTATTCTGCATGTACGCTTTGGTCCTCTCTGCCGTCTTACTTGAAAGACTATGCTGCTGACGGCCTGATATTATAGAATGAACGATGAGGTTGCGATATTTCACAGTCACGATACTGTCGACCCATGGGAAAAACTTCAGCGCGGATTGCCCGGCAGGTATGCATCCTCCGTAGCCTCTTGCGCCAACCGTCAGGGCATTTGGCTCTCGACCACCTCGGATTCCTCCCAACGCCGTACGAAGCTGTGGCTCTGTCCCCACGGCGGATCTGAATTTAGAGGCATGGGCTCAAGGCATACTGTCCACTGTTTACTTCTTGACCGCTGACAGAATTGTCTTGTCTCTGGAGAGATGCGTGCATCTAGTCTTAGCGGAGAAGCTGTTGGAGCTATCAGCTCATGGTTGGGCAATCCACGTGTGAAGATGGTGCGGGATGAACAGATTATCGAAGTTTCGTACAATGGAGAAGGCTTCCAGGGGTCTACCGTGATGAAAGATCGGAATCCATATGTAAAACCTCACAAAGTGTCTGTTGCATACCAGAAGGAGGTAGATACTCCAAATGGCCACATGCCGGAGACTGTGACTGTCGCCTACAGACAAAGTGAAGGCACTACTTCGACAACCAAGACGTGTATCTGGACAAACACCACCGGCGCTTGGAAGAGAGGTCCTGATATCGATACCTTTCTGAAATATTTGAGTCTTCATCTGCCTGGCTTCTTCCTTTCCTGCCCTTTGACCAAGCATTACCCGTAATGGACTAGTAGGGCTGTCTACGGTATTATGTAACATTGCTATCGTGTCTACACTGGTATATGTACAACGTAGGTTTCGGGCTAGAGCACTGAATTCGACCGACTCCCAGCTTTGTTCTTCGAATACCACAAGCTTCCATCGTTCTCCATATTCCGCTTAGCGTATTGCGAGAAAAGGCGCCCCAGTAGGCTACAAGTCAAGTTCTCACCCCATTCAAAGCTGAGAGTTGAGCCTGAAGGCTGTGCAGAACCTTGAGGTTGACAGCCTCTTCCGCAACTCCCTCTTCCGCAACTCCCTCTTCCGCAACTCCCTCTTCCACAGCACCCTCTTCCACAGCACCCTCTTCCACAGCACCCTCTTCTACAGCACCCTCTTCAGCAATGCCCCCCTCAGTGGTAGTCTCAGTGACCTATCTAAACAGTACCTCAGAGTAGATGTTCACAACCATTTTCATCACAGCTTTGTCAAAACAGGGTCCTTCCCAACACTAAGATAGAACTCTTTATACTAAAAGATATTTATATTTAGTAAGAAAGCAATTTAAAGTTATTATTAATGTAGCTAGCAAGCCAAGTGACCAAGTCTTATCCTAGGGAAGTTTAGAATATACCTCTCTTACAGCCTCCATTATATCAAAAATAGACATTAACTTACTAAATATTTTGGTATACTTCTTCACGTACGTCTACAGGTTATATAAATCATATCCTCTCACTGCTTGGTAGACAAGCATGCTCCTTCTTTATTCTATTTCCAACTTAGACGCGCCTGGCTCGGATGCCGTCCAGAATGTTTATTCAGCGGCTGAAGACGATATCCTACAAAAAATGGTGGCTAGAGCTCGCCTGGGAGGAAATTGAGAAGGAGTTCGGTCTGCGCTTCGCCAAGAAGACTATGAGATCCCTGCAGATGCGTTGGTCGAGAAAGCTGAAGCTTACAGCTCCGTCTACCAGATGCTCGAAGCGCAAAAGGTCTTCTCGGTAGTAAAAGACGCATGTTGAATTTTGTGACGCAAAGGCACCACTGCACAAGCCGAGTTATAAGCACTGGATGATTTCTGGGTTGCCTGCCCGGGCCCCTCCGGTCTTCGCCAACAGGTCTGCGCCAGATTGTGAGACGTCGTCTCATCCGCGTTGTCTGGCTGAGCTAAGTGATGTTCCGCGTCCAAAGCAGCTGTGGCATGGCTCCAAGAGGATCCCAACATGGTGAGCACAGGAAAACACATCTAAGGTTAAACTATAGCACCCTAATATGTAACACAATCACATTCTTTAGTAATATACAGAGGCTCATGCATTACAGCAGGTAGATGGGGCTTTAATGATTTAGTATAAGAAAGAAATCAGGAATCTTGAGAATCACATCGGACAAATTGGGTATATCTAGTTCTAGGGGTTCAAACATAATATCTAGCATAGTATGCAATAAGAATTCAGTTAGTCCCTGTTTATATATCCCTATCAGAACTATTAACATACTTAGCAGCAAGTTAGCTCTATAATATTGTTATATAACTGAAGCTGAAGCCTAATATCACTCATTTACCTCTATATAAGTTACAGAAACCTAGGTGATTGGCTTAGTATTTTCTAATAACAGGGAGCTTTCCTACCTTCCATATCCCCCTAAAATCTTTTACTTTTACTTTGCTTGTTACAGAGAAGGGTACTGTGCTCAAAAAATTGAACGCTTACAGCAATGCGCGAAGGGTGCAACAGGTGATCGTGCTACTCTTACAGCACAGTGGGGATGCAAATGTTCTTCAACCACCTACCTGGTATACCACCTTCGAGGCCACGGAGTCGAGAGGGTTCTGATAGGGGAGAAAGCGCCAAAATGGGGGTTGACCATCATCAGGATTAGTCATCCTAAAAACGTGGGCTGCCAACCACCCTCTAAGGATGGCATGTGGCAGATGTCCCGTGAGCCTCTGGCGATGAGCCGACGGATGTGGCTCAGGATTGTGCGGCAGCGTCACCTCCCCGGCCAGGTGATAGCAGCATCCGTAGCCACAGCCATTCTGTTGATAATTCCCCAGGCAGGGGAGATCCCACCACTATCTGAATATGTGGAGGTTACCTTTTGGAGCTATGAAGGAGAGGACTGGAGGCTATCGGACCAGCTCGAAGTAGATCCGTCGGATCTGTCGCCGGTAGGACGCGTTGCGAAAATTAATACGAGGAAGGGTTATTCATTATACGACAAGAGTATGCAGGGTCTCAGTCCAGCACAGAGTTATCGCGCGGCTACTATTGATGGAAACAACGCGATATTTATCGCTTCCGCGCACGAGGAGAAACTTGCAACTGACGGCCGGCCGATTCGTGAATGACAAAAAGATTCTATCGTTTTAAAAACGGTAGTAAAGAATGGAATGAACAATAGCCGCAATACATACTAAACATAAGGTCATCTTCCCATGTAGCTCAAGGCACCACAATACTCTTCCAACTCCAATCATCTGCCACGCCTTCTGTGCCTGTAGCGGTAGATCAGCACTCGGCAGTAGCTCTCTGACACGTTCCCCTCGCTGCCTGAAGGAGGAGGGAATAATAGTTTCGCAAGTTTGAGGAAGGAAACTCGCCTCGACTGATATCAAGGCGATATATGAAGGAAGGAGGAGCACAAGATGAAGAGCCAACATCAAGACAGATACGGAGATATCTGACAGGGTGATGTTCGACTTTCTCGCAAAAGTCACATTCTCGTGGGGCGTACCGCTAAAATTCTCAATGATGGCAGGAATATGACTCATACAAGTTTCAGTGGAGGCATAGATCAAGGCCGGAATAGTCAAGGATTTCCATCGTCTCCAGTCTCGCCGTCTGCTAACTTGGTTGATTTGGTCCCGAGGGAGGATCGTACGAGCGGACCAGAAGAAATGGTTCTCTGCGAGCAGGACTGATGAGACGATATAAGCAAGCGGCCTTAGGGTTGCATCTTTCAGCACCAGAGATGATAACAGCTTGGTTAAAGAAGAGTGGGCAGTCCAATAAGAACATGCAGCGCCAAAGCCACTGAAGAGAAGATAGAGACCACCCCTGCTGTAGAGGGAAGAAAGCGTCTGTGTAAGCTGTCGGCAAGAGAGAATCCGCTTTTCGCCGCCCGTTTCATGGGAGTCAGTCTGGGCCACGGCGGTTTCGAGTATCAATATGGACATAACAACGTGACCGATCACATATTGGATCTTGCTGCCATGAGTCACTGGAGAGACGGAGATTCTGAGAGAGGGACGAAACTCACTAGCAAGTTGAGGATAATACCCACAATAACTGGGATTAAGCAGGTGAAGTCTTTTGCTTGGGCTGGTTTCTCTTGTAACAGCCTATGAGCTCGCGCAAGGAGAGGGTCATCGCCCGAAGAACGGATAAATGTGTTTAACAATTCGCGGAAGAGCGACAACACGAAGTTTGGGCGTGGAGAGTATGCCATCATTCGGGCTTTGAGTGTGAGCCTTGTTGATGGAAGAACTTAGGGGATGAGTGATGGCTGACGATACAATTTCTCTCCGCGCCCGTTGATGAAAGCAAAATAGGTATCGTAATGCCTGCTCATGTATTTATAATGTCTCAGGCAGAAGGGAACTTGGTTGCCCTTGATTCCAACCAATCGCAAAAAAAAACGCAGTTGGTTCAATGCTAAACTAAGCTAACACCAAGCTAATATAAGACTTCGGGAGATCACCCAGACTCTGGATCAATGGATGCTAATAATATCAATTAGTGATATAGTTCAGGCCACATCATTTCTGGTCCTTGGTATCAAAAAGGGTTACATCCGACTGCGCCGCTGGAAACTGAGATCACCAATCACTACTACCCCTACTTGGGATTCCTAGTCCGTATTTTCTGGTTTAACTTGATTTGTATGTTGTCAAGGATATACGTTTGATGGACCCTACCCCTCACTCCGAGGCATGCATACTGGGTTGCTCTAGTCCGCCCCCCTGGCCCAGGGGTACTTTGTCGTGCGCAAATTTATCCGTGCTCCAAGCGATCTGTTTCTTTCTTTTTGGTTCGGAGATTGGGAAAATCTAGTCATACGATAACGTACAGTGCTTCTTGGGGAGCGAACGAGGGAGCCTATATGCTCCCACGAACAGTATAAATAGAGCGAAACAGTCCTGCGAGGTATGCTGAAGATTAACCACATCCAAGTCCTTTTCACTTGAAACCTCACTAAAGTCTGAAGCTTCCTTTTCTCTTCTTTCTACTTGTGATAATCCTCCTCCAGCAACAATGAGGCCCGGTTATTTGTTCATCATTGCAGGTTCTCTGTTAGGGCATGCAGCACAAAGTAAGGAGCTCAACTACGCAGACAGCATCCATGCTCTGGCATATGGCAATGTTGCTGCCTCCTCTGTTGATTCCCGCGGTGATGTCTGGTTGAACATCACCGGCTTTGCTGTGAATGAACTCCCATATATACAGGAAGCTGTGGGCATCACTTCCCTGGACAATGCACGCGAGCTGCAGGTCATTGCAGGACTTGTTAGTACAGCAGCAAGTCAGCAACAGTGGGGTGATGTTGTTTTTCTGTACAACGTCTTTTCCATGAATGCTCATCCGGAGTTCGCCAGCGTTGCGAGCCCGCAAATGCAGGCTGGTTTGCTGGACGCTGTGAGAGACCGGACCTCCAACGCTGGTCCTGATGATCGTTTGATTGAGCTCTACGCTAGTACATCGAGCTCCCCGTCCCTAGTTAAGGCATTTGGAGCCCTCCCTGACCAATACGCCAAAAGTCAGGTCAAGGTGAGACTCGACTGTGGCTGCGACTGAACCATCGGCTACTGCAGTGGCAAAGCGGGAGGTAAACATTGACCGCAATCGGGTCGTATGCAGTGCCGCTCATGTAGCTGTGGCTAGCGCCTGCATAGCACTGCTCGGTCGGATTCGATTGGATACCTCATGGAAGTCTGGTTGTCCGCGCGATATTTGCTATAACGGATGCTGCATCAGCTGAAGTATGAATGCCACCTTCCAAATAGAGAATTTGTATAACGCATCTCAAAGTTGTTATAGTGCCTGTGTGAATGCGTCAGGTGGAGTGAGCTGTGAGACATATGGCGTGGATCTGCAGGACACCATCGTTAACCAGTGCTTGAGCAATCGGCCTAACGGGTGCGACTAATCCGAGGAACTGTGGTCGTGTCCTCTGTGGAGGAGACGTGGCGAGTGTGGACGAGCCATGGTGCTGGAAAGTTATTTGGAAAGGGCGGAATGAGGTTGGCTTTTGTTCCTAAATTAGGAGGTGCATGTTGAAGAGCATCGAGGGTATGGCTTGGCCATAAGACAGTGGAGGTAGGGTGTGGGTCTTGTCTAGCATAGCACTTGCTGCTGCCTCCAAAGGCAAGGCGCATATCCACACGATTGTGTAGTCATTACGTGTGAGGGAAACATCGTCGTCACAACAGAACTGGACGGAAATATAGCCTTTATTGGTTGAAGACTCACGTCGCAGGTATAGAGGTAATCTAATGGCGTACAAGGACCAAATGAAGAAGCTTCCAGGTTGGGGAAGAGGGGTGGTCAGCTTCGTGTCCTGCAAGGCTGTGTCACATAACTTCCACACCGTCTCTCTGTGATCCAATGATCTTCTGCGAACCTGTCTTCCCTCCTCAGTAGTTTCCCGTCCGCAGCAGTCTTCCCTGCCTGTTAGCTACAGATCTGTCCGAGGCCGCGTGGAGCGGGGAGGAGACTGGTAGAGGACGCGATCTGCGGTCGCACGTCGATACCTGAGACGGGACATGACAAATTGTCCAGCTATTCTTTTGTTCGAGAGCCGCATGGAAGGGAGAGGAGACTGGTAGAGGATGCGATCTGTGATATCGGCACTTGTACGTCGATAGCTGAAGAGACGGAACACGACCAACAACTGGCTATCCTTCTATTTGAAGCCGCATGGAAATCAGTCCCTCTTGAAGACCGATTGATCTTTCAAGAATCTGCTCAAGTCGACCTTGCCGTTGAGCCCAGCAGTATCTCAAGGGCTCGCCGCCTCTGTGGGTTAGTTGAATTCAAGAGGTTGAGTGACGACGGCCCGATAATCCAGATGTAACCGGGTGCCGACCATCACATGAGAAAACTCAACGGATACAATCACGTTCTTCGGCGATATGAAGAAGCTCGTGCATTGCGGCAGATTGATGGGGCTTTGATGCTTCGGTATGGGAAAGGAATTATGGAACTTCAGACTCACATCGGTAGACTCGGGTATGGTCTACTGTGTAGTTCTAGGGGTTCAAACATAATTTCTAGCTTAGTGTAGGTTGGTATTTTCAATCGATTCGTCGTCGGCCTACTGGTCAATGAAATTGCTTCAACCAACAAACTTGCGCTGGATACCCAGGTGATCAACTTGGTACTCCGAGTATTGTTCCAACAATGGGGAGCTTTTCCCTCTTCCCCGTCCCACGATGAATATATTAGATTTAATAGAAGGAGGTACCTTGGAGGCTATTAATTTAGTAAGATGAGCTAGATTCTACAGAAGAATTACTATAAAAGAAAAGAGGAGTAGTATAAATCTATAAAGTTAGAATTTTAATCTAACTAATAAGAATATATATGTAGGACATATTAAAATAACTATAGAAGTAGGGAATAGAGAAGATAATAAAGATCACCTTATAATAAGCTATAAGGGCTTATAACCTATAAGAATAAATAGATAACTTAATTTAGAAACTATCTAAGATGAAGCTATTATATATAAGTAGAAAGGTAATAAGTATACAGCACTAAACCTATTCTAGAGACATAGGCAAGAGTAGGTGAGAGAGTGGTATTCACAGATGTGTTATAATAGCCATGATAAGGCGAATAATCGAGGTGGACAATAGGGCCAGAAGAGGAGGCAGCCACGAGGGGACCCAGACTAGACGCCAACAATAGGCCAAGATCGAGTTTCATTGGGCTCTTCTCCCGTGTGGATTTGCTTAACTCTAGAAAAGGTTATTTAGACTGCGGCATTAGGGACAAGACCGTGCCGAATTCGAGATATGATTCTGACTTGTTTTGAGTGGAGGCGGTCGTGGGATGGACGTCTGCAGGATCAAGCGGAGAGGAGGCACTAGTCAAGGGGTATCTTGCTGGTATCTCATTATTAATACTATCATTATTGTTAATATTAATAGCCTATTCTTGCCGTTGTCGAACTTCGAATCTCGTATTCTTCTGCTAAAAGCTTCGAGGCTCTACCCCGGAATAGGATATACGATTCTCACCCAGTGAGTAAACCCCAATAGTCCACTCGCCAGGGACTAAGCAATGGCTGGTGCCGAAGGATTCAAGGAATTCATTTGCCTTTATGGACTATTGGCCCGATTCAGCTCTGAGTTCAGCCAGATAACGTCTGAACGGTCTCAGAATCACAGATTTTCTCCAGTGGACTAGAAGAAATGAGAACGAAATCCCGGATCGGATTCTGCAGACTGATTATTAGCGTTCCTTGCAATTCAGAATGTCTGCAATCCTGCAGCTTTTGTCGGAACCGTACGGACGGTGTCTATCTAGGCAAATTAGCATAGATAAAGGGGATAAAGGATTCATCATGGCCAGATAGCTTACTACTCTTCTGCTTCTTTTCTTTTTCCCTTCTTTCCATCCCTACCCGTAGTTCCTGGATAGGATGAATGTCTCGTCGACGGACGCAGCTCTTCTGGCGCAGTCGCGAGGGACCCGAGTCAACATGGCCTGGTCCGTCCCCATTCCCCTCGAGCTGTTGACAACTGAACTGCGACTCTAGGTCAGATTAAAGTATCCAGGCAGTGGAGGACTCAGTTCGGATGATTATCTAATGGTATTTGCCGCGGTACTGACCCCTTTGGTCCGGATGCGAGCCATTGAAATCTGACACGCCTCGGCATTTGCGATGATCATAGCTTTTCGGAGTTGCGGGCTGCGTCACTGGATTGATCATAGGTACGTTCCTGGTTGTACTTGCGCGAGGCGAGCTATGGACTGTCGATTGACGTGGCCGATTAGAGGACCTCCCGATGGATTCGGACGTCACAAAGCCGCCCTTTCGGAGGAGCAAGCAATAAAGTCCATGCTAGTAAATCTCCTCGTTTAATCACAAAGGAACGAGATTGGCACGGCCAGGGAAACTACATATTCAGCCACTTCTATAATGCAGCCATTGCCACCACCAAGCTGGTTGTGTGTATTCGCATTGTCGTCCTCACCACAGCCGCCTTGTGATTCTGTGGCTATGGAAATCGTCCTTGGCCTGCCTTGTCGGCCCATCGCGCAATTCTGGGACCCAAAAGTGCTCGGACAATGTTTCGACCTAGTAGCATTCGCCTACTTCACCAACATCACCAACCTCATTTCCGATATCTGGATCTTTGTCCTGCATTTGCCCAACGTTCTCCGTCTCCACATGTCCTGTAATCGGAAGATCGCCCTCAGTTTGCTTTTCGCCATCGGACTGGCGTTAGTACCCCCAACCCCGTTGTGTGTGTAGGCGCCATCTCACCCTTTTGTTCTGGCAGGACATGTGGCATTAGCGCTGGCCGTCTTTCCGTCGTGGTCGTGCAGGGTTCATGCGACTTTACATGTAAGTTGGCCAGTCATCATCTTCCCACCACGGTTCGTTCGCCTAACGATGCAGGGGTTGACGTGCGCTTGGGGATCCTCTCCGCCTGGGAGCCACCGGGAGGAATCTTCTGCGCCAGTCTCCCCATCATCTATCGGCTAGTAGTTACCACGTTTCGGAACCTCAGAAGCTGTGCTTCTGGACAGCCGTCTCGCACGCACTGCCCAGATTTGCAGGAGCAATGCCACCGACAGTGGCCCCACTATGCAACAGGAATAGCCCGAAGATGTCCTACCACTTGGAATTCTCTGACAATACGACGTGCGAAGAGCTCAGTGTTCCGGTGGATGAGTCGCAATACCATCCAAGAGGAACAGTATTGCGAGCAGCAGGTTGATCATGAAGGTGACGAGACACCCTTGCATCCGGTATAGAAGGAATGCGGCAACTGTATATAGCTGGAGAATTCTTATACAATTAATGACATAATATTCCTCATGGCAGTTGCTTGCTGGTTATCTAACGAGTTGACAGACTGAACATAGTGCAGCAATCGTCTGATCTGATCGACATATTGTAACAAATATCGCATCCGCCTACAGGGCTGCCTGTTTCATCAAGCCCAACTGCTGCTCCACCACGTCCTTGACCATCTGGTCCAATGACCTCCATTTCATGCCCAGGACCTTCTCAGCCTCAGTTGTATCCAGTGGGTAAGAATCTCCTGAGATATCCTCCGTGATCTTGGCACCAATCTGCGGATAGTCCCTCTTCACGATACGAGCAACATCGCTCCAGGATGCCTTTTTACCTGCCAACAAGAACTTGGACCCGTCCGGCACCGTCTCATCAAGCGCCTTAATATGTGCCTCAGCCACGTCCCGGACATGCACCGCAGTACTGTTCCCCATTGGTTTGCCGGTCATGATGGTTCCCCAGAGCATTCCATTAGTACCACCCTGGACCTCCTCCGGGCTAGTCTGAACATGGTTATGTCCAAAGACATAGGCTGGATGGAGAGTCACAAGCGAGAAATGCGGCTTCTCCGTGTTCTTGAAGTCCCAACTGGCGTTGTTTGCTAGGAGCTTGGAGGCGTGGTAAAGTGTGAACGAGGTGGCTGCGTCGTCTGGGCCCGTGAAGTCGGCGTTTGGATCGACCGTCAGGTCCCAACTGTTGTTCTCTGTGCATGGTTGATCAGCATCTATCCTCGGCCTGACGAGTATTCTGGAGTGATGCTAAACTGACCTCTGACGACCCCTCCTTCGGGAATTCCCGTGAGGGGTATGAGGGCCGCAATGGACGAAGTAATCACGACTCTCTTGATCGTGCTGACTTTGGCGGCTTCTTTCAGGATGGCTGTGGTGCCCTTCAGAGCCGGGCCAAAGTACGTCTCTTTATTTGTCCCATGGACAAGAGGAGAGGCAAGGTGAAGCACATAGTCAACTCCGTCCAGCTTTCCTGCAAAGCAAAACTCCTGAGTAATGTCAGGCACGACAACGAACTCTATCTTGTCTTCGAATTGCGACAGAGTTTTCTTGAGTTTGGGGATCTGTGACTCCTTGCGGACGCTGATGCGCAGCGAGTAACCTCCTTTGAGGGCTTCGAGGGCTACAGCGCTGCCAATAAAGCCGGTAGCACCGGTGATGAATATAAGTCCGGAAGGCATTTGTGGTTGGAACTGTCCTTAGAATAAAGAAATAGTTGTAGATGAGAACAGAAGCTGTCAAGAGGCACTGTTGTTAAATATATAACTCGTCGACCCTGAAGTGAGGGCATTCGTAGCATTTTGCGGTAATAATGGGTTATTATTGTTTAGTGATCATATAACCCATTGTGGAGACACTCCTCCGTCATGAAGTTTTTGATTAGTGATTGAATACTCAATAATAGCCACATGGCTACACTTAAAACTATGTATAAATGATTAGTATTCCGTCCGAAACTCTGGTATACTGATAAGATAAAAGATGGCTTGCCTTCGATTAACAATCAACATTGAGATGAATAATCAACTGGCCACTTTTGTCAGTCATCAACTGCGAAATCCCAACACATATCTTTCTTAATGTAGTCTTGTCTGCTGTACCATTACCATTGTATAAAACAGTTTAAATATATCTATATGAGTGTTACCTTTCACTAAGCTAACACGCCTGTATAATAATGCCGAGGAGAAGCGGACTGCATGTTTAGAGTATATATATCCAGACTAAGCGTTCGATATCACCACTAGATGCGTACTCGACTCGTAGATTATCTGCGAATGAAAGAAATGGGTTCTTCTAATTTATCCTAGCATATTTATGGAAGAAGCAAAACTACCTTGGCAAGACAAGTGACAGGTAGAATTGTAGAAGACTTTCAGATTTATACTTATACACCAGCATAATTCATTGTTAGAAGAGTGATGAGGTAAGCTATGGCTGCACAATTCCACCAATCATGGAGTATCCTCCTTAGCTCATCATCCGCTTCAACATCTCCGATTTTCTTGTGTCATCAATTCATCAGTAGACAGAGGAGCCTGGAATAACTCATCAAGGGGAATTATTATCTCCTTCTTTACCGACCCATGTCGACATGGAGATATCATCATCCAACACCCCGACCGGATCGAAAGCCGGCCCTGCAAAACGCAATCGAACCCCGCTTTCCTGTGCTTCATGCCGGGTGCGAAAGTATGTGCTTAATCCTCCAACATATGACATATGGACTGACACGGTTTAGACTGCGATGTGATCGTCATCAGCCCTGTCACAATTGTGTGATGCGAGGATCCAGTAATCTTTGTTTGTATGCCGCTCGTCCCAGTCGACGACAGAAAGTGACTAGCTCGGCACCACAGTCCGAGAGCAGGGCCACCAGTCCTGTCCTTGGACGGCTATTTGACGGGCTTTTCTATCGAAGTGGTAGTCACTGGGATAGTGTCCTCAGTGAGGTAGCTTCACCATTTCTACCGGATCGAACAAGCTGAGGATGCTGATAAAAGCTTCTCTAGCTGGCGACATTGAGCATCCAAGATGATTTACACAAGAATACAAGCAATCATCCCCAGCGGACTGCACCTGGATTGAATGACGAGCTGCTAGCGGTCATACCATCTCGCTCCGCAGCGGATAGACTGATATCAGCATTCTTTGCTCCACACTCTTTCGTTGGTCCAACAAGATGTGAGTTCTTAGAATGATGTTGCGGAACCATGCTCGTCTCACAAAAACGCAGATTCGATTCATTATCCGACATTCATGAAACAGGTTGGAGCCATCCTTCGTCGCTAGTGAACCATCGCTGACTGTCAGCAGTACGAAGAATACTGGGACAATTCATCATCCGCTACGTTAACATGGGTAGCTCTGCTCTATTCGATATTCAGCTTGGCGATGAAATTTCTTCCCGAAGCAAAAGACAACTCAGGGATGTCTGAAGCACTCGGGAAGCTCTACCATAACAAGTCTGGCCAGTGTCTGGAGCGCATCAAAACAGACCAGACTACTCTGCAGACGCTCCAAGCAATGATCGCACACGGCGTCTTTGGGTTTTCTCATCATGAGGAATGGGGAGCTGGGTTAATTACGCATATCGGATCGATCGTGCGACTGGCGATGAGACTGGGATTGCACCGGGATCCGTCCCATTTCTCCAATCTGTCGCCCTTTGAGGGAGAGATGCGCCGGAGGATCTGGAGCACAATCGACCAGATTGACTGCCTATCGTCCTTTCATCTTGGCATTCCAACGGCCATCCGGTCGGAGGACTCTGATACAGACCCGCCGCGCAATCTTCTCGATACTGACATGGAAGAAGGCATGTCCGAATTGCCACCTTCGAGACCCTTTTCGACAAGTGTCCCAATCGGTTATTCACTAGCCAAGCTTAAACTTTCTCGAGTGATGAGACGTGTCGTCGAATTCCTGAATTCAGTACAGCAGCAGCCGTACGAGAGGGTCCTACAACTCGACAGTGACCTTATGGAGGCTTATCAGTCGATTCCTCCCCATTTGCAACTGAATAACTGGCACGATGCGCCAAACAACCCTGCATATGTTATGGTGCAGAAAGTCCAGTTAGACACGCTTTACCATCAAGCAGTCACCGCACTGCATCGGAAGTATCTCCAAGAGGCCCGCAAGGACCCCACGTTTGCTCTTTCTCAGCAAAGAAGCATTGATTCGTCCATGACGCTACTCCGACATCAGGCTACCATATACAGAGAGGCCCAGCCGGGAGGGTGTTTTAGCAACTTCCATGGTTACACCATCACCCCTGACAGCGCGAACTTTAGCCTGGCTGCGATGGTACTGTGCTTATATCTGCAATACTGGACGCGAACAGACCGGGAGGTTCCTTCGCACACAGAAGCCCGTGTTCAGGATATATTCCAGGCTCTCGACACGTCGCGCCAGATTTGGAACAATCTGGCTGGTGAGAACCGTGAAGCAGGGAAGGTTGGTCTCGTCCTTGACACAATGCTGGAGCTGTTACGGCCGAACCTTGGCCTTGCAGATCGACTTGCACCGGCAGTTGACGTGGCGGTCTCAGTGGATGGCGAAAGGGGCCTTCGGCAAGATCCCACCCGGAGTGGTCAATCTGCGGCTATTCCTGATGTACATCTTTATACAAACGAAGATGGTGCAAAGGACTCCAACATGGATATGGTCGACCTTAATTGGGTGCGTTGCTTTCTAGTATAACTGGAACAAGGCTAATAAAATTTACCAGGATGCTTGGGATTCGTTTGTACAAGCAGGCGATTTTGAGACTGCGTATGAGAGCCTTCTCGGCCAGGACTCAACATTCCCAATCGAAGACCTTCTCGACCTGAGTACTTCCTCGCCTGCCTAGAGTCATAGCTCGGTATGCACAATCTTTGCCATGGGACTGATAGCCCCGACCCAAGCATCAACTGCAGCACGAGGGAAGCCATCGGCGACATACTTCTGGATCTTCCCATTCTCCTCGGTGACTTCTAACCCCCGCACCACTTGGTCAACGTATTGCTTGACCGGCATCGCCTGCGGCCTCGTCCCGCCCATGCGTCTGGCCAATTCATCGACGTGATCTCTATCTAATTCTGTCTCCACGTACGGGGGCACAATCTCGACCACACTGATAGGCGTATCCTTGAGCTGGTTCCTTAAGAGCACCGTGAAGGAATGTAGCGCTGATTTTGTGGCGCAGTACACGGGAAACATGGCGGCTGGGACCAACGCCAGACCTGAAGTCACAAAGGCTAGAAGGCAAGGTTGGTTCGGTCGCGATGCTTTGAAGTGTTCGATGATGCAGCGTGCGAGGACGGTCGGACCGCTCAGATTGGTTGTGATCTCGTCGGTGATGGCGTCTGTGGCTGGGTACTGGGCTGCAGAGACATCGGTGATGTTGAAGTCCAGGAGACGCTGGATGCCAGCGTTGATGATCACCGCCTCAATTTCTGGGTATCTCGCAAATGCTTCGTTTATCTTGCTTGGCAGAGCTGCAAGATTCTTTACATCCATCTGTACGTTTTGTTAGTCAACTCTATGGTATAGAGCGCTGCACTTACCTGGATGGAGCCCAACCCGGGTAGTTCAGCCGTCAGAACATCCAATCTCTCCGTTCGGCGACCCGAAATGATGACCTTCTTTCCATTGGCATGATACCGGCGAGCTAATTCTTCGCCAATGCCGGAGGTGGCTCCGATGATAAGGATTGTCTGAAAGGTAGCCATGTTGTGAGAGTCGAACTGTTATGATGTGCTGATCAGACGAGATGTCCGGAGGAAGAAGGAAATTTATAGATTCGTAGATACATCTTTCCAATACCAACTATATGTCTGAGTTGATAATCTCCGAGGATTTAAGAGCCATAATGCTAATGTGCGCCACTGTGGCCCAGCTGCGTTAATAGCGGAGGCTTATCGCCGCGGACTTAAAGCCTCAAGACAGAACATTGGCAGTCAAACTACAGGAAGACCCACTTGGAAAAAAAAATCCCTAGGATTATGCTGGATGAGAAAAAGCCATGCATTTTGACTGGCAGTTCTACCAGCTAAGGCATTCATTCCATTCGTCCCACTCCCCGTCCATTCCGTTGGACCGTCTACGGAATTCCACACTCACTTGGCGACTTTCATAATCAATTGCCCACCCGAGGCCATGAAGCCTCTTGAACTCTGGAATCGGCTCGTTTCCGTCTAGACCCAGCTCCTCGATTTCCTTCGCCCTCCGTGACACTGCCGCCAGTATAGGCGCCTCCCAGACTACATCCGGATATGGCGCTGAGGACAATAGGTCGATGGCCTCTTGCCGGACCGCCGAGTCTCGACATTTGGTCGCGACAACATACAACGGGTATATGACGCCCATCTTCATTGGAACCCCGACGAGCGAAGTTGCAGCTGCGCTCTGTTGGCAGGCGTTGGATGATCTCACCAGGGAAAGAATCCGCTTGAATGCATACAGAAAGCGATCATACAGCGTTTCCTCGGCGTAGACGGACGTAGATGCGGTGATCAGCGCGATGTAATATTGAATGAGCAGGAGAGAAGCACGCGCAGAAGTCTGCGGACTCCCTTGCGCCTTCTGACACGAATACGAGTAGCCGAATGCCGACTTCCAGAGCTCAAGACGCGCTTGCAGGGTCTGTGTGTACGCAACTAGCTCCAGCGGAACACCATCTGGTTGATTTGTACGATAGACGTAGCCTTCATTACGGTAAAAGTGGACGACTCGGGCGTACTCCTCCATCAGGCAGGTTTCGGCCTGGCTGAACGAGTCGAAGACGTAGGGGATCGGGGACATTTCTTCGGGGACGGTGACGGGGGCGCGGATCCCGACGTACAACGACGCTTGCATGTCCATCCGCGCATATGCTCTTTGGATATCCGAGTCGACATTCCCCAATGGACCTGCAGTGCGGACGATCTTCAAGCACATCTCCAGGTGGCTCAACCCGGCAAGATAATCCCGCATGAGAATCTCGAACCATATACAGATAATTCCGCAGAGCAGGGCCACCTGCGTGAGATACCTGTCATTCCCCATATCCTTGACCAATTCCTGCAAGGAAGCCAACGCTCTGCCGTACTTTTTCAGCCCGAACAGATATCGTCCGCTTCGAGGAGGCGCATCGAACCCATGTATCCTCACTGAACCGTGCGCTAGTCGTTCCTGCATAAGCGCGCCAAGTGCGACAACACCTCGACGAACAGCAACCTCCTGGTGCATGGCTTGGATCATGAGAGGTCGCCAGTGCGAGTATTCGCCGCCGCCGCTGGGTACGTCCCGGCAGAGGCACTCGATAAAGTATTGCACGTACCGAGCGTCCTGTTCGCTTTCTTCCCATAACCTGGGGAGTTGGCGCACTCTCACCGTGGACGTCAATGTCCATGTCTCAGCGAATGAAAGTGCCACTGGGCTAGTTTGTGTAAGAGAAGGGCCATCGCAGCGACGGCCTGTGCTGGTACAACGCTTGCAGGAGGGCCATGTCTCGTCGCAGCGTATTCGGCGGGTTCTGTAGGACAGATGAGTCGATAAATATCGTTTCAGACGTACACCGAGTTGTGCCGTATTTGAGCAGGAAGGGGACATACTTGCATGTTCGGCAACCGGTCCTTGATTTAGTATGAGCTCTGCGCATTGTACTGCGTCCTCCTTGCCTAAGCTTTCTATAGAATTATCGATCTGAAGACAACAAAGCGGTCAAATGTTCTGCATCTGAAACAAAAGGGAGATACCCCGTATACATAGCATGGGTGGATATCGGATATATCTCGGTCTACTTTAGCCCACATTATACCTATTCCGGCTGAGCAATACGAGCAGACCAATGGCACTGGACATATTCTGGAGGTGTTTCAATATCTGTCCAATCAATGTCCAGCTACATAAATAGCCATCTTTGTGGCTTAATAAAGTTGGTCGTGGAGCCACCTGAAGGCAGAAACTTTCACTGCTGACCATTTCTCCGCTCTAGGTAAAGCCACCCACTTCGTACGTCCTGTGCTAATGCCTATTCACCTGGCCAGCCTCAGCCAACGGAAGACTATCGTCCTGCTGGGCCTTCAATGGCCAAGACATGGGATCCTTCCAATGCCCCTTTAGAGTCAGTCCCGGGTGAAATATACTCATGCCGCCACAGGCGACGACCATGCTCGCGCCCTCGAGGATCATGAATGCTATCTCATCGTTTGCCAGGTCACTGCTGAACCCACCGTTCAATTCCGCCGTACGAAAGATCGATCGGATGAAGATGAGGAAAGTTGCAATGCCAATTCCTGATGTACTCTCAGTTAGAACTATCCCTCCTATTGGGTGAGTGCGTATGGATGTGGAACTGACCCCAGAGAAACCCTCTCCATTTCCAGCAGCCGCCCGATGAGAACATGCAGGACTGTGACTGTCGATGTCGGCGCAGTCTCCATAGGTAATCGATCGCAAGCGCCATGAACGCCCCCAGTGACGCAACCTGCGCCGCTAGACCGGTGATCATGATGTTGACCCCAGTATGGCGGAGGCCGTCCTGGTCCCGTCCTGCGGTTGCAGTAACGGCTCCGCCTGCGGCCTGCAGAATGAGGCATAGAAGATCGCAGGTCACGAAGATAATGGCGTATGTTCGAGATTTAATCCGCGAGAAGCCCTCGCCGTAGACAATAATGACCCGGCCAAAACAGAGGTAGATCGCTGCGGTGATGAAAGCAGGTCCGATGGTAAGACAGATGAGGTACCTAGCTGCATTAGTATCGCAAGGGGAACGGGCGAATGGGATACTGGGCATCGGTACTTACTGGAGGAAAGCAGAGAAATTGAACGGGTTCGAATGAAGCATAAGGCGTCCGCCGTAACCGACAACTTCAAGAAGGAGTCCGCCGGTCATGCAAGCGAGGTAGGACCAGGTGCGGCAGCGGAGGCCTTGGTAGATCTGGACAAGGAGCATGATGAGGAAGAGAGCAAGGTATAGAGCATTTCCCGCAAGGCTGGGCATGTAGCGCACCAGAGCCCAGTCAAGAGGACATGTATCTAGTGTGCAGGGTGCCGTGATAGTCGGCATTGGTGCAGAGACCTGGCTTGATGGAGTAGGCATGGCTGTCTTTCTTTCTTGAGAGGCATATCATTGAAACGAAAAGATGAATCGTTAAGAGACAGCGACTTGCAATTTATAGTGTAGGCAGGGTCTCTCTGATTCTCAAAACGGCACAGTCGATGCTAGGTAGTTTTGATATGCCAAGCCAGTATTCGTTCCCAGTGGGTCAAACCCAGTGATGAACCATTGCGTGCGAGCTAAAATAACATATTCTCGAGCCAATAGACCAATCGCATCGGCTCTTTTGGTCTGGACTCTGGACTCCTTCTCGACAGCTCTTCGATACATGCTATTGACTCACACCCACGATGAATTGGGAGTCGTTTCGGCGAACGATCAGCGGGGAAGACCCCGTTACATGCGCGCCCAAAATAGATCCTTCGTATGAATTTTCTTTATCTAATTGTGTGATATATGGGCTCTCCCTACTTGACCCCAGCGATGTCCCGATAGCCGACCACGGGCGGCAGTCCAGACAGAAATCTGTTCCGTTGTTACTTGAAAAATGCTTCCCAATGACCGGAATCTGGGATTAGATAGCTTCGCTGTACCTGAATTTGGGTCATCAAAAGTGTCTGTTCCCCTCTAAGCGATACCAAATTGCTATAAAGGATGTTTCTCACACTCAAGCATGGCAAAGAGTAAAGTGTACGACAGATGCCTCCTTCGTCCATCATCGGCAGCCACGTTCGAGCAACCAGCATAGCAAATGATTGCTAGGACGACCAAGTTGTCCAATCCACATTGTCCAGCCACGCTGAATCGTCCAGCCCGAACAGCGGCATTTGAGCATCAAACCCAAGATACCCAAAGATGTCCTGGAGCCCCGTGTTGTAGTCCATGCTGGATGGAGGAGCTTCGTGAGTAGGTGGAGAGTGAATATCGATGACCCTCTGCCACATCATCTGAAGCTTGTTCAGACATCGCCTCACAGAGAGACTGAGGTGCTCGTGTGCACTAAATACTGAGACAGCTGTGTTCCATGACTTCGGGACCAGAGTTCCGAAAAGATCAGGTCGCAGCATCGCCGCTATCAAATGCTGCATTGCTATGTAGAGGTAGAAAACACGGTACCACCAGGGTATAAGTCCAGTCCTGTCTGGTCGCGAGCACTCCTGAACCAGCATGATGAGCTTCTGTGCGTTGTTGACGCACAGCGTGGCGCATGCTTCGAGGACGTGGTCGCTTACGCTCGTTTCAGCGGGTCGGGGAACCTTCTGCGTTTGCCCATGGGATAGACAGAGGCGAGCGATGACAGGTCTGAGAAACATGATACGTGTGTGCACGAGACTGAGAAGCGCAGACTTGACTTAGCTCTGTGTTCGATATACGAACTAGCAACGAGGGCTCGCCACGACTCACCGCAGACGAAGAAGAATCAGCCTTCCGTCGAGGGGAGTAGCAGTTTCACCCCTGGACGTATTGTACGGGGCGGGAGGGAGTCGGTTTTCTAATCCAGTAAGGCACTCGTCAATTTGCATGAGGGCACTGGGTTCTGCTTGGGTTGGCAGAACCAAGTCCTGCCTCACTGCTGGAATGCTGTCAGTGAGCGCTTGAGCAAGACCGATGTAGCCGGTGATTTGGTTCAACTCCTGCGTTATCCTAGAGACTGGAACATCGGTCTCACCGTCCCAATCAGGTAGATCGTTATCATTTCGAACTGGGTGGAAGGATAAAAAAGGTACACTAGGTACCGTGGAACGCCGCCCAAGCGACCAAGAAAGGCTTCTAAGGAGTAGTCAGCGGAGGCTCGGGCCTACAAACGTGGGATACTTCTCAATACCTGTCCATAAATACGCACTGCTGCCAAACATCCCGCGCCAACTGGTTCTCCCTATCCGACCCGAACATATTCTTCTCGGCGCGGTCGAGGCCAATGCTCAGGGCAATCCGCACGGCCGAACCCAGTGCCATCCACGTCTGCTGTAGATTTGTGGTACATTGAAGATACCTGCTCATGAGAAGCAGGCATTGAACGGTCTCCAACGAGCCTGCTTGCCAGAGGATGACCTCCGGACGCAACAGATGCCAGGCTCGAAGAAAGAACGTTTTACTGGCAGTATTTCTCTGTTCCGAAGGAGTTGATTCCTCTAACTGAGTGGACAAAGCAAATACGAGGTTGAGCGTGCAGAGAAAAATCTGCTCATTGAATTCCATCTCACTGCCGTCGAATAGTGCCTGATAGGCGGCATCAAAAGATCTCTGATCAAGCAGCGGTTCCAGAGGGTCAAGACATTGCCAGTAGAGGCTCACCAAGCGGTCCGCATGCTTGCGAGGGGGTAGGACAATATCCGTAGGATTTATACCGAGATCCGGAACCCCTGGAAGAGACAACAAGCCAAATAACGGGGCGTCTGTCAGAAGAATAGGGCATCGTTTTTTGGAGGACGGTAGCCCCAATCTGGCATTCACAGCAGCCTTGACCGCGTAAGAGAATTTCCCTGAAATACCCGGGGTATTAGCGCTGAAAGTCTCGACCACATCCGATTGCCACGAATGTGTTTGAGCGGGCGTAACAGGAGTCGGTAGTTGTGGAGATGCCGCAGCTGATGAAAGATGATTGTTGGCAGTACTGCTACGGCGGGCTGACGTCGACATATAAGTACATGGCTCTTGGAGCTCGCTGGTCCTTTGACATCTTCCACAGGCTGAAATTCGGATAATCAGTATTTACAACTTCGGGACAGCAGACATTTATCGGGGGTTATGGGTATGAAGGGCATGGAAGCACCTGGACGAAGGCCGTCACATTTGACCTTGCGACGACGACAGGTCGCGCAGGCAAGGACGGTCTTGTATCTCCTGTGTCGTAGTGGGACAGGCGGCTTGGCTGGTGAAGCCGAGGACATATCGCCGAGCGTCGTTCAGTATGAGACTAGACAGACGTGTCATCCGACGAGCTGCAGTGCTACAGTCGCATGGTCCTATGATACCAGGTTGCACGATGTGAAAATGCATGGAGAGCAGAAATGGAAGATCGTGGAGAGATGCGTCATGCAACTTCCACGCACCAGGGAGTAACATCACATCTCATCCCAGAGTGGCTGGCATACAACCAATCATTGGCCATTCCGAGCTACCTCGGGACTGATGATTAGTATGCCGAGCTGCATGGGTAAGAGACCAATAGGGTTGCTTTTACATGATTTGCACTTTTGGCTTGTCTACTACACAGACTACCGAGTTTGGAATGGCTGCTCTGGAACAAATAGCCATACGGTGGTATAAGCTCGAAAGCTCGGTCCTTAGTCCCCCAGTGGACTGTCGGAACGGCCCACAATTGGCTGGCTGTAAGCAGGCCCTGTCTCGTCTGATGTCGACATTGTTGTCAGCGTCTAGTATTGGTCAAGGGCTCGACAATGCATCTATCAGGCTTCCATAATGCACCGTGATTGCATGCAGATGCTTGCAGGCACCATGTCTACTTACATGTGAATCCCGATGCGAGACCCGCTGCGCCTGCTGCGGAATTATGTTCGGCTTTTGTTATTTATATCTCTATCTGGTCCGCCTGGGTATCCTCCACGGCTATATCCACGGTGACGGCCATCTCTCGCAGTCGGTCGCACACAGATCAATCATGGCTGAAAACGCTCTTCCCAACCCCAAGCGCTACATTACCGAGAACGACGATGAGGGCAACTCCTTCTTCTCCAATACCCTCAGCGAGTCCCTTCCTGTCGTGAACGATCTCGGCGGAGCCCTGGCACGTCTGGGCTACACCACAGATAGGCCGCCCGTGGTGCTCACCAATGGCACCGACCTCAAGCTCTACGAGACCTCGCTTGACGAGCCTCCTCCGCTGGTGACTCAGGGTGGCGGTGCTAATGTTTGGTACATCGATACGCCACCAGACTCGGAAAGTCCCATGCATCGGACCGTGAGCCTGGACTTTGTCATCCAGGTCGCCGGCGAGATCGAACTCACCCTGTCCTCTGGTGAAAAGCGCATCATCAAACCGGGAGACTTAACCATTCAGCGATCTACTCTGCACAAATGGCGGAACCCCAGCAAGACACAGTGGTCTCGCATGATTGGTGTCATGTCAGCATGCCAACCCGTTGTCGCTAAGAACGGAACTTTGGGTGAGGAATTTCCGAAACACTGAGCAATAAACGGGTAGGAGAACGGGAATGTAATATGTAGCTGCCATGAGATATATTGTTCGATTCAAAGGTTGTTAGGTCCATAACATGTATGCCTTCAAGACAGGGATAATTTCGCCCGAGTATTAGGCGCCTACATGGCTTTTCAAAGTAAGACATTTCTCTATATCAGTTCTCAACTGCAAAAGCAAATCTGGTAATGCACCTTGCCATGAACGATAATCTTCTTCGTAACGGATGTAAGGTAGATAGGTCAACGTCATACTATGGGTCTGTCAGCACAACACATATAATATAAGCATCATTACAATTTGGATAATGCTAGATGAAACCGCTTTTTATCGGAGTAGCGGTGGCGAATTAAGCTTGGCTAATCAAGGGCTCCGATTCTAGAAGCGAATTTCATGAGAAAGTCAATTCTGTTTTCGGCAGTCGTCGCAGTTAGGCTTACCTTGTCTTTCAATCACCACTTAAAGTGATGAGGGTTATCCGACGCAGGATGGTGCCCTTCTTATTGCCCATATTCCCTCTCCTAGACTTGTTATTTTGTTTCTTCAAAGTACTTACTGACTCCGTGTCTCTTTGATTCCCTCATCCAAGAATTTTGTATATCTGAAGCGGACCTGGAACTTTCATATAATGGCTGCAGAATCGCTCGAAGAACCGAATAATGAGACTCTCTGGATTGACTTAACTATCTCTTCCCCCCACCCACTCATCATGCACGCTCAGATTGTTCTCATTCTCAGCACCATCCTAGGCCCTCACCTTGCGAATGCTACTTACCATTTTTGAGGCGCCTTGGTCACTCCCGCTCCCAGTCTCCTTGTGCTGAACGCAAGGCAGGCCGACCAATGCCTATATGCAACTGATACCCTCTGCCCAGTCGGAAATAGGTGCTGTCCGCGTGGCCAACCCTGCACGGTAATTGATGCGTCTCCTGCCTGCGATGGGACGTGCAGCGCTCGTGGGCCCATATATCCGAATAACTTCTGCCGCAACATTGGGGAAGCCTGCGTCATGTTCATGCGCCCTGTTTGTAGACTGTCTATCAGCCGGGACTAGGGACTTGCTACAGCCGACCCCGCAGGGTTCGATGAAAACTACATCGTCTTTCTGTGACTGCCATGGTCAATCCTCTGAAACCCTTTTTCTACGCCAAGATTTTAAAATCAGGGTCTCCGCAGTCTCGGACACTGTGTGTTGGGAGTTCTTTCTTAGACTCTGCTTCCTTCAATAATACAATACACTCGGAAGTGCCTGACAAACTAAACTGAACTCGGTCCGGAGCATGTGGATCAGGATGAAACATGCATGGCACCTCCGCGGATGCAAATAAATGCTCAAATCAGGAGTGAGTCCCACATTTGCATTCTACATGTTACCGCGAACTATGCAAAATGTGGGAACGACTTATGATCCAAGTCATCGGAAAGCTAATATGATGTCTGACCATTATTAAGTAAGACCTTTGTCCGCAGAAACCAACATCAGCAGTGAAGCAGTTGGGCCCTTGCCTGGTCCTCCTCCTGAATCCTCTATTACCTCCACGTCGCTAGTACCTATAACCCACGATGCATATCCTCTGGTCTGCGCTGGCGTTGAGCGCAACTGCTTTAGCCCAAGTAACGGGATCCAGGCCCATCAAGTTTAATTCCAAGGGTAATCCAATCCTCTCGGATGGCTCGTGGTACTCGGCCGACCCTGCACCGTTGGTGGTCAACAACACACTCTATATCCTGACCGGACGGGACAGTGCTGCTCCAGATGAAAACAACTTTATCATGAAGCAGTGGGGAATGTTCGTCTCTTCGACACCCAACCCTGCTGGGTCCGAATGGATGCTGTACCCGAAAGTCGCAGAACCGCACGAGGTGTTCGCCTGGGCTGCTCCCGGGACCTCATACGCAGCACAAGTCGTTCAAGGCCGCGATGGTCGATTCTATCTCTACGCTCCGGTGACACAGGCCAATAGCAAGAATGAAGACCCGTTTGCTATTGGGGTGGCTGTGTCGGACTCTCCTACCGGGCCCTATGTCGACGCTCACCCGTCTGGCCCGATCATCTCGCAGTCAGTGCCTCCGCCGGGCAATGCCATCCAGAATATCGATCCCACTGTGCTCGTGGACGACAACGGCAAGGTCTACATCTACTTTGGCACCTTTGGCGCATTACGCGCATACGAGCTTGACGCGGACATGGTCACTGTGCGGTCGCCCGTCACTCAGGTTAACGGACTGACGGGGTTTTTCGAGGCCCCGTGGCTGATGAAGCGTAAGGGCGTCTACTATCTGCTGTTCGCAGCCAACAACGCAGGCCCGGACTCGCCTTGCACGCCAACATCGTACCACGCCTGTATCGCCTATGCGACGGCTTCTTCCCCCTTGGGTCCGTGGAAATTCCGGGATGTCATTCTACCCATCGTCTCTTCGACAACCTCCCACCCGGGAGCGATCGAGCGCAATGGTGAATGGTTCCTGGTCTACCACACGGCGGACGCTAAGGGAGGCGGCCATTTCCGTCGCAGTATCGCACTCGACAAGCTCAACTGGGACGATAATCAGTCGCCACCAGCAATCCGCAAGGTCGTTAAGACCATTGGATCCAAGCCACCGGCTCCTCCAACATACAATGTCGCGCCCAACGCTGTGGCCAGCTAGAAGTATCCCTCAGGAATCCAGTACTGGATAAAGGCCGTCAATGATGGAATTGTTCGGGCCAACCCGCTGCCCCCGGATTACTGGAGCTCCTATGAAGCGGAAAAGTCCCGAGAGACCAGCGTGCTTACCTATGTGTGGAAAGAACCAGTGGAGCTCAACGGCACGTCGATGGTTTTCTTCGCCGACCAAGACGCTGGGGCTAACGTGGGAGTTGCGCCCCCAAAGAGATGGTTTGTGGAATATCTGGATCAGTCGTCTAACTGGATGCCTGTTGTCAACACCACTCCCTATCCTCTGGAGGTGACCGATACTCCGAAGGTGGTGAAATTCCAAACCATCCGCACCACCTCCATCCGTGCCACCCTGATCGCATCCGGCTCGGGCGGACAGTTTGCCGGTGTTGGCGTGAAGGAATGGGAAGCTTTGACGACAGAGCTGCAGAAAACCTGACAGACGTGAAAGGATGTTTCAGACTAATATATTCACGATAAGCGGATTGGTGACGGGTTAGAAGCTGTGCTCAGTAGATCCTCCTTTCCATGTAACGCCGGAGAGTTCGGCATTGAGACCAATAAATCTAATGCATCATTTATTAGTCCGTCACAACAATGCCTCCGCGAATAGGGAGTTCATCCGTTTCTTTTTAGTTTGAGCGGGGTTTGGTGAAGCCCACTTTACCCCAGTTGTCCGCCGGTCTTATACCCAAACAGGAAGGTTGGAAGCTATAGTCTCCAGGGATCGACATGCAGAGACCACTTCAAGACTCAGCCTGACCAGACCAGGAAATGGCCTCAATAACCCTGATGATTCTAATTCCAAAATGTCCGCAGAAGGAACGGGCAGCGATCATTGTGATTATCAAGCCTGAGATATTAAATACAAGACTAGCCATGCTTCGAAAGGGTGAAAAAAAAAGGGTAGAAAGTCATTGACTGATTGATCAACCTTTCAAATGATTGCATCCCCATAATATGCAATAAGAATAAAAATGGGTTGGCATAGTCTATCCACGACCTTGGGCCTTGTCACCTCTCTGCTGGCTCTCACCGTCTGCGGCCAAAATGACAACCTCGGCCTCAAAAACGGATATATCTCCCTGTCCACGGGCAATTGGGACCTGAAGCTCGCCAAAGATGCTCAGGTTCTCGCATCGCTCACACCCAAGGGGAACTCCTTTGATTTCCTCCCCTTTGACTATCTCCCCGTCCGCACCGAGAATGAGCAATATCACAACGGGGATATCACCTTCAGCTACCGCGCCACCGGGGGAAACCAATGGGTTGAAGTAGATTCCGCGAAGTCTCGCAAGGCCGTGACCGTCGTCCAGGTTAAGGATGCACTGGCAGCCGCCGACTTGACCCCGACTTTGCCTGCTAACTCGTCGCTCCGCATCATCCGCAAATGGGTCGATGTCGACGGCGACTTGGGCCTGTCCTTTACTATCACCAATGCTGCCAACCAAGACATTGAAATCGGTAGCCTGGGCTTCCCCACCGAGTTCAACAGTATCTTCACTAACCGGACCCCGGAGGAGATGTCGGCCAAGTGCTCGCTGACTGACCCTTATATTGGCATGGACGCTGGCTATCTGCAGATCACACCAACATCTGGCACGGGGGAAGCGTTGATTGTGACACCCTTGGGCAACACAAGCACCCCGTTTGAAGCGTGGCGCAATATTGATGAGCCCTACTTTGACTCCACCGCATACGGGAGTCAAACCTTCGAGGGATTCTACGAGTGGCTGGTGCACTCCAAGGCCTACGCCGACACGGAATGGCGCAACGCCAAACCCTGGAATCCTCCCACCTCGCGCATCCTGAAAGCCGGACAGTCTACAACTGTCGGTCTGCGCTTCTCCAGAGTGAAGGACGGCATCCGCGGTATCCAGAAGGCGGTGCGTGCCACCAACACCCCCCTCACGATTGGGACGGGATACGTGGTCCCCCAAGACCAAACTGTTCAACTGCACATCCTTGCACCGACCGACGTCGTCTTGGTGGTCAGCGAGGGGAATGCATTGACCGTCACCCGGAAGGAAAACACCCTGTCGCTGGCTCCCACCGGATCCGCCTGGGGCCGCAACCGGCTCACCATCACCTATGCCGATGGCAAGAGCCAAACAGTCCACTACTTCATTACGGAGTCGGCCCCAGACGCCGTCGCCCGTCTGGGCCAATTTTCTACGTCAACCATGTGGTTCACTGATAGGTCGGATCCCTTTGGCCGCGCCCCTTCCATCATGTCGTATGATGCCTCTACTAGAAAGCCCCTCCTCCAGGATCCGCGCGTCTGGATTGCGGGGCTGAGCGACGAAGGTGGTGTCATCTACATGGCGACGGCAATGAAACAGAGCGCCCACCCGGACGCCAAAGAGATTGCCAAGCTGGAGGAGTTCGTCAGCAAGATGCTCTTCCCCACGATCCAGAATGGAGGTAACCTGGTCCGCAAAAGCATATTCTTCTACGAGCCCTCCGCCGTGCCAGGGTATTCGTACAGCAAGTCCATTGACTGGGGCAACTGGTGGTCGTGGAACAAGGCCGATTCCTACTCCACCCAACGGTCATATGATTATATCCACGTCGTCGCCACGTACTGGGCGCTGTATCGCGCCGGTCGTGACCAGCCGGGGTTGCTGAAACAAAACACCTGGCAGTGGTATCTCGGCCGCGCCGTTAATACCACCATTGCTTGCTTTGCAACCGACTCCGCCGGCAGGGAGCTGGTGCAATACTCGCGGGTTGGCCAGATGGGCGAGACGGTGATCGGTGAACTTCTCCATGATCTGCGCCGCGAAGGGTGGTCCAAGGAGGCAGATGCAGTGGAGGTGTCCATGAAAAAACGCGCAGACTTGTGGAACTCCCAAGCAGAGCCGTTTGGCAGTGAGATGGCGTGGGATTCGACGGGACAGGAGGGTGTGTACTACTGGTCCAAGTAAGCCACTTCTGCTCTCTCTGGGAAGGATGACAAGCTTATAGAGGACTTTGCGAACAGCTATTTCAAACTCACCAATACCGCGACCAAGTCAATCAATAGCATTCTGGGATATATGCCTACTGTTTCTCACTGGGGCTGGAACGGCAATGCCCGGCGCTATTGGGATTTTATGTATGCACTGCTCTGCTCTCTTTCGCCAGCATCAAGAACCTAACATGCTTCTCCTTTAGCTACGCCGGAAAGCTACAGCGCATCGAACGTATGATCCACCACTATGGCTCCAGTCTCAATGCCATTCCCCTGCTCGCACAATTCCGCCAGCAGCCCAAGGACACCTACCTTCTCCGCGTTGGCTACGGCGGTGTCTCTGGCCCCCTGACCAACATTCGCCAGGACGGCTCCATGTACAACGCCTTCCACTCGTTTCCCGACACCCTCGCGGGCGATGACTACTCGGGGGATTACGGGCCGAATTTCTTGGGTGTTATGCTCGCGTCCGCCACGTACGTTGTCGAGGACCCGGATCTGGGGCTAGTTGCGTACGGCGGCAACCTCGCCGTAAATGGACAGGCGGTGACAGTCCAGCCTCGCGATGCAGTTCGCCAGCGGGTGTACATAGCGTCCATGGGAGTCTACATCGTCACCAGCTCCGGCTGGATTGATCAGTTTTCTTTCGCAAGAACGAACGCCAAGCAAGTGACGGTGCGCCTTGTCCCCGGGCCGTCCAAGGCTACATCGGCAATTGTCTGGGTTGAGAGTCCTGGCACAAGCACTCAGTACAAAGTCACCTCGCAGGCCAAGGCAATGCGCGGAGGATGGCAGGTGCAGCTGGCCAATGGTGGGGTGGAAGTGACCGTAGCCTCTGCGTAGTATATGGCTACAGAGTTTGGTAGGGTGGTTCTCTAGGCAGACTTGCCATTACAGTCATCGCCATATCAGTCTACATGTGTACCTGTCTTTTAAAATCACCGTGCTCATACGCAATATTCAAGAGAGGAGCACTTTGACTTTTGGAGACCGAGGTCTCAATCTGTAACTTGTGTCTCCGTGCCAAATCTAGATGCGGGGCACTCTCATACTCGGGCTGTTAGGCAGATTTCTCGGCTAGTTCTTGCAGATGACCCCAGGCCTGATTGGAGACGACATGAACACTATCAGGTAGCCATGGGGCAGTTTTCACACAGATTCGGCCAGTCAAGCGATCCACCACGAACCATGATCTGTGCGAACGAACCCGCAATCTTAATCCCCTCATCTGTGGGACTGTGCAATTGGCGTGGCTCCACTCAGGAAGGAATAAGCTGCATTAGTTCCATTATTCTTCAGCCAAACAATTAGCATACACATCAGTCTGAGCCTCTATTCAGAGAAATCGGCTAGCCAAGCAGGTTGACGAGACCACCACTATTGGTCAGGATTGACTAACATTGCTTTTCTCAAAGGCAGACTTGCCCAACAGCTATTATCTTTAAAAGGACATCACACCCCTCTGAAAACAACCTACATAGGTTGCATTTTTTCATCTTGCTACAGACGATCCTCTAATTATATTGTAGCTATCTCGCCAACCGATCATTTAACAAAATGTCAAAGTTATTCATTGGGTTTGTGCCAAACTATATTGTCCGTGCTTTGAGGCCTACGCTGATGGTACCAGCGGATTGTCATGGAATACGGATGATGCTACTCTGCGACGGAAGTTTGAGGAATTTGGGACAGTAGAAGAAGCGGTAAGTAAATCGCCCCTGCCACTTTCTCTCCTGGCATACTGTCTAAATCAATATAGGCTGTTGTGATAGATAAAGAGACTGGCCGCTCCAGAGGCTTTGGCTTTGTTCGCTTTAGCTGTGATGACGAAGCCAATGCAGCTATGAATGAAATGAAAGATGCGGAGTAAGTAGCTCCCATGGCACTGATCACTCAATAAGAACTACTTGGTGGTGTAGCTGGACCGTTGCTAATAGCGCCTAGGTTTGACGGCAGGAGAATCCATGTTGACAAAGCTACTGAGCGCAGGTCAGCAGGTGGCTCCAGGTCGGGAGGATATGGAGGATATTAGACAGTGCACCCGGCCTTTACTGCGCCTTCGGATGGTCTGCTGCCAAAAAGAAGAATGTCGCCGTCCCAGTCAGTGAAGGGGTCCATTTCGGGTGCAGGTGGCCCTCATCCAGATGCCTGCTGTGTCCCTAAGTCACGGGGACTATAGGATTCTCCTTGTATCCGGTGTCAGTGAATGAGCATACAGTACCTGCGTTTGACCGCGATAGGGAGGCGGTTACCCGAAGACTTAGGGCTAAAGTAGTATCCATTTTAGATCTTTCCCAGTCAAACTTTGACCTGAGATATTCTGAAGATCCAGATCGTCAAGGTTATATTGCTTCTGATATTGTGGGGTATTCCTTGCCGATACACTGGTTCACATCACGCCCTTCTTTACTGAAAGGGATATGTTTGATACATCGAGTAAATTCTTCTTACTACGCTTCTTTACTTCAAATGCGCTGACATTGGATATTTCTGCCATCCAAGGGCCTTATGTATTTCATGTGCCGAGGACCACATCCTGAAATGTCCTTGGATGTGTCATGACTGAGACGCTGTGCCGTAGATGTTCTGCCTTGATGTCAGTAAGATAAATCCTAGAGCACCTTCCCTATCAGGCGATACAGAAGATTGGCCGTAGAGATATTGCTTTTCCGCGGACAGCACGCTGCTGGAAGTGACAGTCATCAAGCAACCTCCAGGAGATTCAAGCTGTTTTCTGGCGACCGAGCCAGGCTTAAAGAACGCGGAGGATATCATCGTTCCTGTATCCACCTAACCCTTGACGACTCTTTGTTGAAGATTGTCTGTGACCGAAGCCCTATTCTAAGGGACAATATTTCTTCGTTAAACATATAACATGCCCTTGCAAATGGCCCGCAGTACAGAATGCATCTCTGGATTGGACAATTGTGTGCCAGACCTTCCTTGTCTCATTCTTGAGCATCCTGATGTGCCATGCCGACTCATTCTTCTTTTCCACCAGAAACTTTTTCCCCATCGCGTTGGTGGCGGACCACAAATTTACTTTCTATGTTACACAAAATACTCATGGACTCATAGCGGTTGCAACCCACAGTAATACATCTCTCAGATTAGACTGGAAGATTGGAATATGTTGTCATACTGATCAATACAGTGGCCATGAATAGAATGCAATGAATCCGAAAGGGTCCGGAATCCTGACGGTATAAGCATCATTCGCTAATATAAAGCTCACCTAAATAGGAAGACTATACTAACTGTCTGAGCTACAATATTAGCCCCTTGAGATATATCCTCTCTTCCAAAGCAGCAATCGTGATACCTTTCAAGTGCCTTTGACTACATGATGTCTATTAGAAAACGGATCGATTTTCCCTAAAGGAAGAGCAAACTAATTCAACCCCCTTGATAGGATCATTGATAAAGCGAATAACCGATTACCATTGGAGAAGACGATTATGCGCGCCGTTTGATAACATTGATCAATACACCCGAGAGTGGTTGAATATGTGTACTTTTTTATTTCAGTACTGGCACAATATCTTCTTCTGGGGTTATTGGCACTAAAGGCTAGGTATGGAAATGGATTCATTCGACATACTCGTTCTAAGGTCGTCAACTCTCGAGAACAAGACAGGCCTAGACATCCTTGTTTTATGGTGAATATGTCCGGCGAAAGGCAATGTATGAAGTCCTTCCTGCTTTCATCATACCTGTACTTCTACATTTGCCCAAACCAGAATCTTCACGTCACAATGTGGTTGCACCACATTGTATCAGTACGTTTTAAAGTCATAAAGTAAGAGTGTGAAGCATCATACACTGTCATACATTAAATCACACCCTAGTGGTGGAAAAAGTATAGGCTTTTGTTCAGCACTTGAACTACAGTTGTGATACTGGACTAGATGAAAATGATATAAAAACCCAGCAGGTCCTCTACTAATTCCTTAGTAACTTGTACATTTACCTCTCGCGATCTATAATATTTCGAAAGACAGAAAATTCATCCCTCATTCGCCTTCAGCAGCCAAAATGAAACTTCTAGCTCTTGCTATGGTGACATGTGTTACAGGATGGGCATTCCTTCCTGGACCAGGTGAAATATGCCACACTGGTACTCACCACCCCTGCGCAGACGGGCTTCATTGTCTCGGAGTCTGTGGGGGTCACGGCGGACCTCCAATCCCTGGCGGCCCTGGCGTGGTAAGAGACCTAAATTCTAGATGATCTTCCTAAATACTGACTAACCATCTGTGGAGTGCGCTTTCGAAAATCCTCCATGCAAACATGATGTGTGGCAGTAAAGAGTATGTTAAATGCTGGTTTGCAGCCGTCTGCTCCAGCGAGCTGATAATGGACCTAGATTTCTATATCCCGGTGCCTGTACAGAGGTAACCTTTAGAGGGGATGATATTTCAGGCGGACGTGTGGTAATTCCCGGCTATGATAAATTGCTTCCTGACTCTATTTCCTCACAATAATCCAAATTGGAATGTTAATCAGATTTCAACCCTGTACTTAGCCTACGCAACATTCGCACTCCAGATCAACTTTGGAGTTTAAATATTAGGACTTGCCGTAGATAAACGTTTGAAGTTCAAGCATTATGATCAGTAAAGAAATCTGATGCACCTTACAGTGTCAGTCTTGCTCCATAAATTAGAATCATCTCAGTTTTTCTCATTTATGTATGGATTGCCTGTTTCATTAGGTCGCCACTCGATGAAATTAATTATCTATCTATCCCATGACTCTGGACACAGTCCGCTCAGGGAGTTTTGGAGCGAATCCAGGCCACTGAGACGGTATATTGGGAAACTGGGCCAACTCAGCCCATTTCGAAGCACTGTAATCGAGAATTCTTTCCTCTGTCTGGCGGGACTGCAGCTACGACAATTCGATCCTCACAAATATGTGATTATACAAATTGTGTTGTCTATTTGTTACTTCACTATCATCTCTATTAGCTTGGAAGTTTATCTGGACACTATTTTAGCTTAGTGGTAGAAGTGCATATTTGGTAAATCACAGAGTGAGGTGGTCTGTGTTCTTAATAAGCATTTTCCTTAACTGGAAGCATCTGCATGCGGGGACCAAAGACCTGTCTAGGGCGCTCCGAATAACAAGGCGCCCTATGAAACAGTGGATATAAGCTTGGGCTCAACCAGTAAAGCTTTCAAGACTGGGATTTTCATTATCAGCATGGTAGTACCTACAGGGCTCGGAGAAGAAGTTATTCACATATGCTAGGCAATTGCTTAGTTAATGTCATGATATACGGGCTCAGATGATATTGCTAGACCTCATTGATCAGGCCGGGCAGCTAAGCTACCCAAGGGAGCAATTAGCCCTATATTTACAGAGTAACTAATGCCTGTCCAAAAACTTTCAAATCATAAAACAGCTCTGTTAAAGATGGAAAAGTAGTTATACAACCACAGACATGGAATGTGGGGCGGCCATGGCAGTTAATCAGACCGTGGAAGACAGACACATAAATACTTGGTACGTTGCTAGGATCCAGACCAGGAGACTCATTAGACGTCTGAGACAGAGCGATCATATCTGCCTCCTCGAAGGAAGCAGTCGGGCGCAGGGTGTCATAACCAAATGCTGTTGCAGTAAAGGTGCCGGTTGCAGTAGTGTTTCGGCCGGGACGGACTGGATGAAATTACTGGGTGCCCACCAGCTGCCAGCCCCACAGCCTCAGTGCACTCGTCATGAAAGAAGTTGGAGCAAAAGAAATTGCGTGATATGAATGTGTATGTATATGCTTGTGCTCAGTTAGCCTCAGGTAATTGGCTGGTGCTAACATGTATGGAAACAGTAGACCTAATGATGTGGTATAACAAAAGGTGGGGCTTATAATGAAGAAGTAATTAAGCATTGCTAGTTTTGGGAAATGCGCCATGCTTTGCCTCCGTTAAGATGCTAAGTATTTATCGAATGAATATTACGTCCATGGCTCAAGCACAACATGCCCTTCTCTATTGGTGAACAATGCATCTGGTGTTCTGGCGGCGACTATGGCATCGTAATGTTGGAGTCGAACTGGAACATGTCGTCAATAAAGAAAACCAGGAAAAATAAGTATCCAATCCTCTGTCAAATAGGCTTCATCCTAATAGTTAGAGTAGGAAAGGTTATAAGGCTTTCTTGTGGAGAGAATTCACAGATCTGTGGTGGTTCGTAGGGTGAAGTATCAGAAAATTAGACATGATAGATTCTGACATTAATACAAACTTTCTTCAACTCTACTCTATGACATTGCGTTTTTCATGCGCTGTGGGCCTACAGAATGGTAATATCCAATGTCGATTCTTATATGTTGCATTATGAAGTATCATGTAACTTTCCGTTTGCGATAAATGTGGAGACAAGAATATGAATTATTGATATCAACACATCTGTTTGAACTAATTAGATGGATGGCATATATTGAAGCAGCCAACTAGCCCTTTAGAACACTTCAATTAGAAGCCCAGTTAGATATATATATTTCTGTTCTCTTCCGATATATCCGCAATGTTGCTACCGGGAATTAGTACGTAAAAAATTTTGTCGACTCTTATATTGACGCGATCATGGATGCACAATATGTACTGGCAGACCTCCAAACAGGGCTGAAATCACAGTCGTCCCAGTCAAGCATTTATTTCTGTGATATGGCCCCATTCTATGTGGTCTCCGTTGAGCGGAATCACGGATTGTCTGGTCTCGTCAGCATAGTTCCTTGTTCCACAACGCCAAGACTTCACTATGATGAAGACGATAATAAGGCTTACCAGAAGGCATGGACAAGGGGCAGGAAATTTGCTGCATTGTTTGAGAATTTGCTTAATGATGGGGAAATGACTGCGAAAACATCAACATGTTCCTTGCAGGGGGGCCCATACTTGCAGCTACGCGACGAAGCACTTATTATTGGGTCACCACTTGGCACTCCTACACGGGCAAAGGAAGGTATTTCTTCCTTTCACAAGATGGAATTCAATTTCCCAGGGACAAAACCAGTTGTCTCATCGCAAATGCTGCATATATCATGCTCGGGTCTTCAATCCGAGGGCAGTCTCTTTGACAAAGACGGTGGGCCGGTGTATGATAGCGTTACAGTATTGACCGGCATGTGCTTATTTACGCGCAAAGTGCTGGACGAAAGTGTCTCTGATGGTTTTTTGGACACCCGGAGGCTGTTGGGGATGCCGCCCACTCTGTATGAAGTGGAGAAGATCGCCGGATTGTCGTCCGCTATTGCAGATATAGCCGCTCTCGTCTTCTCCAAGTACGATGGGAAGTGCCACGTGCCGCTCAATATCGTGCTAGATCTTCCAACCTGGCATTACTACGAGAGCATCGAGGACCGCCTTCAACACAGGGGCTATAGGCCAAGTGAGGTGATGGATTGGATCGAAGCAATAATGCTCCGCAGTCAGCAGTTGGCGGGAGTACTTAAGAGAGCAGTCCTGCACGAGCTGGATAGACGCGGTGTTCCAAGCACACGGCGTCTCTACGACATCCAAATTTCTCCGGGATCATCGTTGGTCGATGACGCCTTCCGAGAAGCTCTCAAATACGACAAGTCGCCATGTCTCGATGATATCCTTGAGACGCTTAGCAGTAGCCAAGATGGCTCGTGGCGGCAATTCTACTCGCTCCTGCCTGACCGGGAGAAACCTCATTCTATCAAGGACCTAAGCTATCTCTTTTACGTTTTTCAGGTTGCCCGTCCAGCTTTGTTGGCTGGGATTCGATCCGGGAAACAGCCAAGTCCGACAGAATCAGCTTATAAGGATTCCACGCGCAGTGGCGAGCGACACCGTCCTGCTTCCGGCCGCAGATGCGGGAGGAAGGAGGATCAGATGCCCCGTCCATTGGTCATCAGTGTTGATGATCGTTCGGAGCGTAAAATATATTCAAAGGCCCACAGCATTTTCCTTAAACTCCCCAAAAGTCCAACTTACCCGGCTGACCCCACGTTGGTCCAAGTTTACACGCCTCGCCGGGTTTTTATTGACGGGAACAGAAAAGGCGAGCGCCTGTACTGGAACGATCCCAGCCCAGTGATGCCTCTGCTCAGTGATAAGAAGGCCTATGGTGATGGAGGGGATGCGGAGTACAGCAAGTACTCCCGAGAACTTCAGCAAATGGACTTTATCGCGAAGTTGTATGGTGCTGAATGTGCAGACAATATCCAGCGTTGGTCAAAGCAGGTTGGCTTATGCTGAGGTTACTCGGCCGAGTTGGTGTGCCTTCTCAGCCAGCTGGCACTAGACACAGGTTCTGGGCGGAAAAATGAAAAAATGATGTTGCAATTCGGTGCCATATCTAGGTGGGCGGTAGAAACCTCCAATATCTAAATTTCGATAGTGGTCAGATTTGAATAATTTTAATCCTCTGATTGAGGGCATACCATCTACCATACTATCTACGATGCTTATAGGAAATTCATATATTATATAGAAATATGTGGTAATTTTAGTTATTCTAGTCAAGTTCTAAAATATCAATTGGATATCTCTAGTGCTTAGTAGCTGCCTGGTCGTAAATCATTTTGAACCATGTGGGCAAAGGTGGATACACACTTGTATATCCCCACCACTTTCATACCAACCTCTGACAGAGATGATATTTCCCATATATATTAGCCACCACCAGGTGTTTTCGACCAACATTTCATATTTAGATAGAATAGATATGACACTATCTAGTACTAAGAGTGCTAGATGAATCCTAAAGTTCAGTGACTAATATGCAAGAAATCCTTACTAAACTAAACTAACTGATAAGTCTGATAGACTGAGACTGACAGTTTCACTAAATCCGAATTAGTTTGGGGATAGGGAAACTGAAGTAAGTGTGATTCACTAGGCTAGGCCGCTAGGCTGCTAGGCACCAAACGGTCCGAACCAAATCCAAAGAGACTTCGGTGAGGGTTGGTTCGGAGATTAGTGGTTCAGTTATTTAACAGTTAAACCATCCAGTGAAGTTGAGATCAAATGTGGAAAGAACTGGGAGCAGTTTGCTGTACAACATCTCTGCCACTAGATGAGAGGTCCCTTACGCGCACTAGCGGGATGAGAACCAAACGGGCCTCATCTGAAGCGGACCTGGAAGGATCTGGCAATCGTTCTGGACAGTGATGCAGCGGCTGTTGCGACGGCCGGTGGCCCAATCTTTTTCAGGAATTTGACCTCACCTCGCCGTTGCGACCCTGTGTGACTGTGTCTCGAAGTATGCCTGATCATAATGGAAGATAATGCCTGCGCAGAGCAACATCTCTGGCTAAATGACTTGAGTTTACTCGACAAGTTCTGTTGGGTTCTTTATGTATTCGATTTGTTATCAACCACCCACCTGCACGCACAGTCGGCCTTGGAAATGCTGGTACATCAGTGCACTCTTATAATGTTTTCACGCTAATGAGACATCCAGGCGTTCATTCGTCTCACCTCTGCAAGCGATTCTCTAGACGAATTGCCGAATTCTACCATTGCCATGCCGTCAATGCAGCACATCGAGGCCTGGGTCTCGACCGAGGCTGCGGTGTCGTCATTTGCTGGCACACTCGTCATGGTATCCCTGTACCGACGATGTATTGACCACACCATGTCGCAGATTAATCATCCACATGCCTTCTGGGAGGCGCATTACTCGATTGATAAAGCCATCAATCACTACCGAGGGAACTTAGTCTCTCACCACGTCAACGGCGACCTCTCCGACGACCCACGATCTCTCCCACTACGCAGGAACCTAGCCGCGGTCGTAATCACTCTACATGAGACAGCCCTGATCAAGGTACAGAAAAACAAGCTGCCTGCGTTCCTCGCGGCCAAGGCAATCACCAAGTGCATCGCCGCTGCCACTGACATTGCTATGGCCGTCCAGCTCGGTCAATGACCGACAGGCAAGAAGTGGGATATTTAGAAGTCATGACCGCTTTTCCGTGTGACCGATGACCATGGCAAATCCAAACCTGTTCGCGTTTGCTGGACCTAATCGGTAATGTCGACGTGGGTCCCTGCATTGACAACCTATTTGTGCTCGCCGCTGCCATGAACAAGCTTGTCAGTCCAAAACATATCCGTCCAGGACTTTTGGGAAAAGGGATGCCTGGGTGGCTGCGATTGAAGGAGCCGCCGATGCTAAATAGCTGCCTACAAGTGGTTGCCTCCACTGTGAGGAAACAAGAGACTCTTTATAGAAGTAGATAGATGACACTATGACCCTCGATAAACAGCATTTTTTTTAATTTCCATCTTAGCTCTTTATAAAAAGGCTAGATTCAATATACAGATAAGTATTTAGGTATTCCTATGTGGTTAAGAGTTGAAAACAGCTTTCGGGGCCTTGCTAGAAAGAGGAGTGTATATATTTCTCATCTAATGTACATTTATCATAGAATATTGATGTCTATATCCCCAGCCTGCCTTGGCCTTGACTCGAAGCTAACGACTAGTCGCCCCTGTGAGTGCTTCGATTCCCCAGCTCTACTCCCGTCTCCTGCTCAATGGCTTCACGTCTCTTCTTTTCGTCATATTTCTCGTCCAGTCCAAACTCCGTCACCAATTCCTTCCGCAACTCCACTTGTGGAATGCACGCGGCGAGGGGAAACGCGGCGAGGGCAACGCCAGCAAGACCTGCCAAACGAGCTTCAAGCATGACAGATAGACATCCAGGATTTCACGCTGCAGGGTGGGATTGTTGTCAAAGGTCTCAATGAAGATCTTGGTGACATGTTCATACGCCCCACCACGAGCCAGGAGTGCGCGGGTGGCCTGGTCGCTGATGTGAGACAGCTGGCTGTCGAACTTGGAGTTGAGCACGGCGGCGGGGATAGCGGCGCGCCAGATGGCCCCAGAACTTCGCACGAATGCCCAGCTGGCGGTAGCGATGGCGACGTCCTTCTCTGGCAGCGGAGCCTGTACAGCAGGCAGCGTGGCGGTGAGCGACAGCCCGCCGCCGATTCCGGTCATGATTTGGAAGATGACCCATTTCGCTGTACTCGACTTATCAGTCAGGAGGGTCAGGAGACCAACCCCGACGGCAATCAGACTGTAGCCGAGAATGATAGTTAGCTTGTACCGGCCGGTGATGGCGACCATGAGGCCACCCGCGATGCCAGCTGGCATGAGAGGGATCACGATGGCGAGAGTATCCACCCCGGACCTCATGGGGCTGGCCCGCAGCATCACCTGGAAGTAGATCGGTAGGAAGAACGAGAGCCAGGACACGATGATCCCGTGGAAAAAAGGTGAGAATGTAGGCCACCAGAGAAGTGGTGTTGCTGTACACGCGATGCGGCATCGTCGGCTCGCGCGCGATATATTCCTGATGCAGGCCGAACAGAATCAGGCCGAGAGCGCCGGCCAGGAGCGGGACGAGGGTGTGCCACGAGCTCCAGCTATACGTGGTTCCTCCCCAGGGTAACGGCAATCAGAATGGCCACAATCGCCGCAGAGAGGATCATATTCCCGGAGAAGTCCACCCGAGCAAGTCGGTCCTTGAGAGTGCCTTCTCGGTACCATTTCACCCTCAGAAACAGAGTCACCAGGACCAGCGCAATTCCCGCCACAGGGAGGTTGATATAGAACACCCACCACCAGGTCGTTTTGGTGACGATGGCGCCTCCCAGCACAGGTCCGATAAACGTGCCAAGGGCAAAAGTGCCCATGATGATACTCATAAACTTCTGTCGCTCCCGAAGGGCCACCAAATCAGCCGCGATGATATCAACCATCACAAGATTCCTCCGCCTCCAAGTCCCTGCACGATTCTCGCGGCAATTAGCATTTCAGTGGTGCTCGCTCCGCCACAGAGCCCGCTTCCTAGGCCAAAGAGGACGACAGAGATGATCATAGGGTATCGCCGACCGAAAATGTCGGACGCTTGGCCGGCAATAGGCTGGACCGCAGCCACAGCGAGAAAATACCCGTTGATTGTCCATATATAAAGCGAGCCCGAGTGCAGCTGGTCCACGATGGTTGGGAGAGCAGTGGCAGGAACTGAGGTGTCCGGGCAGCAAGAAGGATGGCAAAGCAGAGGCCTGGGAAAACGGCCCAGAAACGCCATCCACGATGTTGCTGCTGTGGAGGAGGATTGAGGGGATTCACAATGGGCTCGTCGTGCTTTTTGGAAATGGCTTGCGGTATGCGATCTTCAGGGAGGCTCTCGGCCATGACGGCTGTAGGCAGAGGATCGTAGGTTACTGTCAGTGAAAACATTCGAGACTGACGATTGGAATCAAGAGAAGGAAACCGCTCTGTAATACAGAATTGCGGCTTGTTGATTACCCCACCCCTTCGTTAATCCCATGCTGCGTACGTACAAGGACTGGAAGGGAAGAATGACTACGATAAGAATGGACAACTCGGGGCGTATCGGAGGCAAAGATTTAAAAGAGTTTCATTTGAGATCACCCGGTGAGTGTGACAGACAGGATACATCTATTCTTACTGCCCAATGAGGCTCCTAGGCGGGTTGCTTTGTCTGCAAGGACGGACATTGCCGGGCCGCGCACGCCGAAAAAGTACCATCCAACGAGTCATGCCAATAACAGACATTACAATCTACGGCAATTATAACGACTCATGACAATTTGATGGAAATACATAGGTGCGGTATGTTTCCATAACGAAATACATCATCATTTGGTGAGATATCCAGCCCATCAACACTTACTCATTCTCCTGACTCGCATCCCTCGGCTCCTTTCCGGCTTATACGCCGAGAAATAATCATCATAGACCATGTCTTCGGGCTTTTGTTCCGTCTAACTCTACATTACTGTATTTGCGAAGCCGCATGGCTGTGGTGATGTATAATCTACAGTATGCCAAACTGTTACATTGTTAGTTGCTCATCTTCAAGCATAGGGGATAGTACTCACAGCGTGCCAATGGACAGTCGGGCACCGTACCAACCTTGGATTTGAATGGTAGGTCCCGGAATTGGCCGAGTCCTGTAGCAAAATCATGGATTGGGGGTCGCGTCGTACCAGACTCGGCCAGCTACTGAGTCGGCCATCTGGTGAGCATGTGCGGCCACAGGTGCTTTTAATGGAGAGCAGTTCCTGAACAAGTCGAATACCTTGCGAGTGCGATCTTGCTCTCTGCATCGGTAGACGAGATGACCTTCTGTAGAGCAGAACCGTGCCTCTAGTGGGCTAGAAAGTATGATCATATTGATTACCTTGTGACATTAAGTATGAAGCATTTAGTAATACTTGGAAATCAGCCCTTTCTTATATTTTCCTAAAAGTATTAATTTGCTAGTCCTTGTGAACGCTGGCTGTCATACAGGTTTAGACCTTCATTCATAACCAGAGCCTGCAACAATCGTAGACAATCGGATATCAGCAAATAGTTCACCACTCGCTTCCTTCAGGAAACGCATGCTTCCAGCAAACATCATGTTTTCAAGCGGCTTATAAGGTTCATGGCCACACTCGAATCTCATTTGCTCAACTACTAACTCATCAGCCAGATGCAATCCCTAAGACAGGAAAGGAGAGTTCGTGTCTCACCTGCAGAGCCGAATGGGGTACTCTTTGCTTCAGGATGACCCATAATCAAAGCCAAAGTAGGCTCGTTCAACTCGACGACGCCGTCGGCCACGACGCGCAAGCACCGGCCTTCCGCATCAGTAGCAATGGCCGTTATGCCCAGGCGCCCATGCTTCTTATCTGCGTCGATGCGGAACCAGTCGTGGCCGTTGCTGATCTTGAAGTTGAGCTTGGGCTCGAAGCCCTCGACCGACTCGATAGTACCGTGGGAGAGAGGCTGAGGCTGTCAGTAATGTCCTTCTCAATGTGATGTTCTTGAGCGGAGGGAACGTACGACACCGACGAGCGTCGAGCCTGTGTAGATCTCCCCACAGGGCAATTGACCGGCGAGTCCGGCCTAGAGAAGCATCAGTCGGCCGCTGTATACGACATCCACTATCCCGTACCTTGATCCGAATGGCTGGTTGCGTGGTTGGGAAGCTCTCAAGGGCTAGGCCACCGGTTTTCGAGGGATCGGAGCTCATGTTGCTTAGAGATAGTTCTTAGCTGAGTAAAGGTGGAAGTGGGCAATTGTGTGGGATGACTGCGCCAGAGACTGTCATCTATCACCGGCTACTTGAAGGTAGTTATATCCACTAAGATGAAACCCAAAACTTGCGTCGAACGTGAGACAAGGGCTCGTTAACGGAAAATACACCACCGATGCTTGCTTCTACCTATTGTGTAACAGAGTCGTCCTCAAGCGGCTGAGTGCGGGCAGAGCGTTCCGCTTTTCACCGTGGATAAGCCACAGTGGTAAGCTGACATCACTCCCAAGTCATTCACCGTATCTAGTGAGAATCCAGGAAGATATGGTCAGCGAGGCGATATCTAAGTGTCTGTATATGTACGGATATAGGGCATAAGCAGTAAGGAGGATGAGCGGAGGGGTATCTCTATTACTGCTCTCTATCATAAGGCTAGCGTAGAAAATCAACTCAAGCTTTTGTGCGGTTACGAAGTTGCATCACCGTATTATACCAGAGGAGTTGTGCATATAATACGTGAGCCTCATAAGCCAGCCAGGGTAACATCTTGAAATCCCTTGTCGACTGGCTGCCGGGGTGGAGGTTAGAGCATTCAACACTGATGTATGTCACCCTGGCCATTCCATCGGACACCTTTTCCACTATGAATTCTTGGAATCCGCCGTCCATGAACCGCCACGGGAGACCATACAATGCTGCCTTGTCCACTGTTCGCACCAGCCCGTCGGGAAATTTCCAGTACATGACGGCTCCGGCTGTGTCGGTGGGACTATCTTGAATCGCGTCCCAGTTTGACGGGAACTCGGAGCAAGGCTCGGGGCTTTCTGGACCAAGAGCGTGAGGCTGGATAGAAGACTTCTGGTTCGTACTCCAGGTCCCAAGCATGAAGGCTCCCATGCTGTCTTGATCGCCGAATAGCAAGCTACCTGGCGCAAAGGACAATGGCGGCACGTCTTTGTCCAGGAACCACGCCTCCGGCCCGGCGGCCCGCGCATCAAGAAAGGCAGCAACTAGATTCTGCATCAGATGATGTGCGTCATCCTTCTCGGTGTTACTCTGTTCACTGTCAAATGCTCCGTACCCAACAAGAATGGATACAGGGACATCCGCTTGAAGAGCTGCGAAGGAGGGGACCCAGCGGGTTTGGTTGCCACCAGACCATGAGGCCAGCAGAGCTGACTTTTCCATCCCCCATACAGACTTCGGGACTGTTTCGCCGCTCTCCACGAGGTTGCGACATGCACTCGACTTTGGGAGTTCCGTGATGGAGATTCTCGAGCATGACCGGTCAAGGCGTCGCTTGCCAAGGTATGCGGCGACGATGCTGCCGGCCGCAGCTAATGAGACCACACCTGTAAGTCGAGGACGGTTTTGCATGAAAGTGATGATGCTCATGATGGCGGTGTGGATTGAGTTGCAAGCAAATAGGTCGGGATTTGGAGCATCTGAAGACACTGCAAGCGTATTCAATGGAGATTCAGCACCGTGTCACCCTGTATATATTAACGACGTCTAGGTCCAAAAGAGGTATTGAATCAATAGATGTTGACTATATGAGCGATACGAAAACTGCGACAGAGATGATGAAATGAAAAATGCAAGAGCCACGTCATTCCAGGGGTTGCTTACATTGTTAAATAAATATAACAAAAATGGACAAAGGATTATGACTCATCTATAACTCAAGCAACTATCATCAGCTATTGCCACTATTTCCACGTACAGGGTACAAACATCGGCTCGTTTTAGTATCAGTGATCACCTCCAACTCGTATGCTGTACTGCACTACTCGATAGAATTAAAGGAGTTCTTCAGGGCAACTTATTTGATCTTGCAGGACTAAAAATGCGGCATGAAGACGGACCTCACTAGTATGAATCATTCCAGGTATCACCAGCAATTCGCTTGCATAAACACCTGCACCCTTCCCTTCAGGTATTCTCTCAGTTATTGACAGTCACCGAGTATCTCAGATCATACAACAGCTATTTCAGTCAATACAATATGCACGCTGGACATCCATTTGAATCATTATTCATGGGGCCGGTGTGGCCGGGATGGTAGCCTCCAACTGCCTCCAACTGCCTCCAGCGGCTCGGCATTAATCAAGGTTGGGCTCGAGACGCATGCTGAGTTTGCGCTGTCAATGGGCAATGGCATCTCCATGTGGCCACATGGCCTACGGGCCCTCCATCAACTCGGCTATCTCCCTGCGATGCAGCGTGACACAGTGCCAGTGAACCGTTCTTTGGGCCGGGGGCCGGATGGCCGGGTGATACACGATAATCTATTAGATACCGATGTTGAGAGAAAGACACAATCTCCCGCAGATCCTGTATGACGGCTTGCCCGATAAGTCATTTGTCCATACCAAAGCGATCAACGAGAATGTCAGGCAATTTCCAGACCGGGTTGAGGCCTGCCTTGCAGACAGCACAGTTAGGTCTGGTGACATGGTCCTCGGTTGTGAAGGGGTCCACTGCTTGCGGAGCTTCATCTGGGATCAGCAATATCGACAGTGCCTCCGGGTTCTTCAGAGAGAATTCTGACCTGTACTGGGCCCTCAGTGGTAGTGGTCCGGGCACCTTTACCGTTCTACTCTCCATGACAGCCCCGGGCTGCAAGAAGACGGTACCATTGGCGGGGCTACATTGACCTTTGACGATAGCAAGGTTGGAAACGACCATTTCTGGGACGCAATTGGGAGTTTTATCTATTTATCTAAACTAAACTAAACTATATCTAACTATGGTTAGTTAGTATGACCCTAGCTTGGCCTATCTAGGCCTAGTAGTAGGTTCTATCGTGAAACTCTTACTAAATTAGAATAGATCAAATTTAGTCCTAATTTCCAGAAGCTAACGTGAAATCATAGTAGTTTAGTGCTAACTAGGGCTCATCTCACATAAACTTAGCTGAATACAACTCTATACTCGCGATTACTAATTTACTATAACCATATCTCTATTTATAGAAGTCCTGTACTTGCTACATACGAAGACTAAAGAGCTTCTATTTTTATCTTTTTATATAGCTATTTTAGGTTTGCATTCTCTCCTCAACCCAACGCCCCCACACTTCCTCCTCCCCAGAAAGTCTATACCATACAATGCTACTGGGAGTGGTCGGTAAAGTCGAATATTATTACTTAATTAATCTCTTGTTATAAGGACATTGATTTCTCAGTTGTCCAGGTTTGGGGCAGTCTCTGCAGGCCGAGGCCCGAGGGCGCCCGTTGAGAGTGTTTCTGCATCTTCTTCTTGCTCAGAAGGGATATTTATGATCCTACAACCTGATTCCTGCGTTGAAATGATCCCCTAGTTAGTGTCCCAGGCAACCATTTTCATCAAAGTTCAAGGCTCCCTGCCTATTCTTTCATACGATGCACACTGGGTTGCTCGATGTACGATTGAACCTCCTCTAGACTGTTTGGCTGGCCCTCCTGCTCACCCGGCATCGTTGTCGTAATCTGGAGAAGATTGATTTGCCATACTCCTACGTCATACGCCGTATTAGTTTCCAATGTCCGATCCTGTACGAGATTGATTACGTTTATAGATCGACTTTGGAGCCCTGTTGACGGCAGTTCTGTGTTGTTTGATGCTCTATTTCTCAAGGCACATTATTCCCATTTGAAGGAACAGACGTTTGCCATAGAAATCACAATATGATCTTATCACCGCTCTCATGTACGTTTATGTATAAATAATAGAGCAGAAGGGAGAGGCACGAACGAAGAGTTGAGATACTGGTAGTACACACAGGTTGTCTGGGTTACAGAGGAAAAGCATCACTCCATGCACCGCAGCTCCCTGATAACTTCACTAAAGAAAGGATGCCTCTTGCTTCACTGAATTATGGTCAATTGCTGCCCGTGGATGTCTCTGGGCGTATAGTCCAGTGTCATGAAGCTGGCCTTTACAACCTTAGGCTGGCAGTTTTCCATTACCCAGTGCGCAAACATATCCATCCCAGCACATGCCCCAGAGGCAGTCCAGAAGCATCCGTCTGTGACCCACTGCTGGGAGTCATTCCAATGGACATTCGGGTACAGTAGCCGGGCTTGGGGCAGAAGCACGTGGTTGACAGTGGCATCCCTACCATCAAGTAGCCCCGTTTGAGCCAGCACCAAAGCGCCCGTGCAAGTTGTAAATATGGCCTTGACCTCCTCTGATCGACGTCGAATAAATGATTCAAAACACTCCAATAGGCGGTAGTCCGGCGATGGTCCACCGATTAATAGATAGTCAAGAGGTGGACATGTGTCGCAGGTGGTTGTCGGCAGTGCCTGAAGGTTGCCGGTATGTTGGACGGGCTTCAGCTCACTACCAACATAGTAAAATTCAATATCGAGGCCGGCAGCTGCGGTGTCTTTGGAGACCTGACCGCTCTGTTCCATGACTTCGAGGTACGGCCGCGAGCATGAGGAGAGGATGTCCACTGGCCCAGCGACGTCGAGGGTTTGGTAAGGAACCATTAAGATTCCGAAACGAATGGGTGACATTATGAATGGTCTTTTATTTTTTTATTTTATTTTTTTTATTCGACAGGGAGGTCAAAGGATCAAAGGATCAAAGGATCAAAGGATCAAAGGATCAAAAGGTGTGATCATCGATCAGCATGCAGTCGACTTGGTGGTAGTGGACCGCATTTATAACACTAAGACTGCTGTGTCCGTCAACCACGCGCAGAGTACTTACAGCTTACCTTGGTCTCGGACAAATCCGGCATAGGCCTTTGGGTTATCGCCTAGATCATCAGAAGGTGTCCAATCTACAGCATTGTTGTTCCTGCATGACTGCTTTGTGAGACAAGGTTCCCGAAGTTCCCCACAACCCCAAACCTTTCCACAACTCCTTGGCGGTATTTACTGCCCCAAGCAGTTAGGCTAGGATTCCAGGAGATATACGCGTATTCTGACGGAGTTTCAGAGCCTTTTTCTGGCTGTAACTGTTAGAAAATACAATACCGCGATGAATACAGATATGGAGACCCTATCCTAACTGGGATATAGTCCGGACACCCTTTTGGCCTAGTGGTATAGATATTTTGATAGTAACTGACGCCCAGATACTCCCCGAAGTGTGAAAGGCATTCTCCCTTTTAACTGACACCCTTGTGGTTTGCTAAAAACCAGCGAATCATGGGGAAAGGGCTCTATCCTCATCGACAGTTGTAAGGCTAGAAGTAATGTAGACTACTTTGTAGCTTTGCTGCTGCCTGCCGATGGTGGAGATTTTAATGGGAGACACCTCTGCACCGCTGTATATTTGCTGCACTGCTGTTAGAGACGCTGAGGTAGTAAATGACAAAGTGCGAAGCCGCCGCTGACTGAACACAGAGTTGAGTCATATTTAGGAGTAGGAGTCAATGCTAAGGTCCTTGACCATACTGTGAGTAAACAATATATTAGTCTCCTAGTCACAGTTAGCTATTCTAGAGTAGGCAGCAAGAAGAACAGGGCAAATGGGGATACCATACTACCTGATTCATATTACCATTTGGTACATTTCTCCGCCATTACACGAGGCTTTGGGAAGCATTAAGTAACAAACATTAGTAGAACATAACGTTCTAGAATACAGTACCACCGATGACATACTCCAGCTCCCTGTACGGAACAAGGGTAGTTTCATTTAACGCCCTCTTTGCTGCTGAGAGACAATTTCCGAGGTCATACAGTATACTTTGGGACACAACATGACACTGATATTCTCAATTCTATCGACATTTCGATGTGAATGCACTTGTAGTTCTGAGCTGTTTTGAGCTGTTTTATCCGCAGCCAAAGTGGTTCTCGGAGCAATGTCGGGTAAAACATACAAGTACGAATTGCAGCCTAATTCTGCTTCGAATAACAGACAACTTGCCGGAGACTCCACTTTTGAATGGAAGTCTTCTTCGACCTTCCTGTCTAGCCGCCTAGTCGCAATCTAGTTAGCTGCTAAGGGAGCGAGGAGACGCTGATGGATCTGTTGATCTCCATGGAGCAGCCACTTGTTTTAAACTTGGGGCCAAACTCGTAGTGGTTTGTGGCACCTGCTCAACTAGATAATCTCATTACTTTTTCGGCCTGGCGCTGCATCTTGTGCGCTGTTGCTAGGCAGCTACTTTAATACATCCGTAGCTTGGTTTCGCGTACTACCTCTCGTACTCGTATGTGGATTTCTAAATGACACCGGCTAGGGCATTGAGAATTAGAGATAATAGCACCAAAACAAGCAGTGGTGCTAGATGAACACCATGTCAGAAGTTCCTGCTGTGGTGAGGGTTAACTCCGCCTAACATTAGAAACTGAAATAATGAAAGGGGAATTTCACCACATTTTCGTGTTTCCAGATGTGAACCAGATCTAAGCTCACCAAAGTATGTTAACCCTGGTCCGTACACTGTGCATTCAAGCAAACCCTTGCCTCCGAGCTGTGGACCCTTTGATGTGGATAGGTATCCTAGTATTAAGTATACCTTGTGGCAGTGCTAATGTCTCAGGAGACTGTGAAATGATGTCTATCTTGCTTGCGTCCATGTGCCATACTTGTCTTATTTATATTAAGCGCCCAGGACGGCTCAAAAGACGAGTCAATCATATAGCAATTCGGACGCGAGTCAACCATGTCTCTTCTTGCATTCGTGGTGTCTTTTTCCTACCTCTATCTAACGGGCACGTTAGTATTTGATACCGTCCATTGGCTCCTCCATAAATGGTCCAGATCACCGTGGAGGTTCCTTCGTTGGCTTTCATACTGCCACCAATTTCATCATCTCTACTACAACCGCTCGCTAAAGTTCAACGATCGATACTCACGACAGAATGCCTGGATTGCATTACCCCTTGAAATGCTCTGCAAAGTCTTTGGAAGCATAGCAGGATGGCTACTTGCCCGGCACTTGATGGCGTATAACCAACAAACCATCGACACTGCGCCTTTACTCGTGGCGTCCGGATTCGAGATTATACGAACACTTGTTGTCATTGCCATGAGCGGTCGAGACTCGAATCATATCGCCTTGGACACCGTGCCTAAAGACCATAGCTGGCTTTTTGTTGGACCCGAGTACCACGCCTTACACCACGTCCATCCCGAGCGATACATGGGCTCGATGGTCAAAGTATTTGACTGGGTAGCGGGAACTGCATACTCTCTGCGGGGCAAAAGGATCATCCTCACAGGCGGCTCGGGTGCGTTTGGCTGCGCAATAGAGAAACAGCTCCTGTCTGAAGGGGTGGAGGATATTAAGAAGTTACACTTCGGAAAAGACTGGACTCACCATGACGTCTCTGGAGTCAGCCACTTTCTGGAAAAATCTGATATCCTTATCTTAGCACATGGTACCAAAGGGAGGGATGCCATGGATGCTAATTGCAAGTCGACCATGCGCCTCATCGAACTCTTCCTCGAACGCAAAGCTGTTGGCAATACTCGCCAGAGCAAGACGGTCCCGGAAATATGGTATGTAGGCAGCGAGATTGAAATTCACCCTGCATGGGGGAATCCAGAAATGCAACGATACTCCGCCTCAAAGCGGGCCTTCCTACCTTATGCTCGAGCCCTATATGACGACCCTCGGGTAATTTACCGTCACATTGTACCAGCGGCCTTTGAATCGTCTATGGGTAAAGCAATTGTTTCACCAGATTGGGCTGCTCGTGTGGCACTATGGTGGATTCATCGTGGAGCCTATTATG